AGAGAGATCAAAGAAGTGCATCTTCCTCATCTCTTAAAGTTACCCTAGAGGACTTACCCCCACACTTTTTTTTGGAATTTGGATATCTCCAAAACCTTATGATTTTTGGAAAGGCATGACCTTGTTAGAAGTCACAACCTTTCTGAAAAAATGATGCCATTACCTTTTTTGGGAAATGTCTTTCATTTAAGCAATTAGGTTTCTTAGCTGTTAACATGATATCCTAAATAGCTCTTCGAACTGTTAGGGACAAAGATATGCCAATGCACAAAAACACAAACGTATATAGCAGAGTTTTAGAAGTGTTCTTTTAGTTGCCCAAAAAAAAGCATCCACTCTCCCTTAAAATATATTTGCCTTTAAATCATGCTCTCAAGAGACAAAAATAAGCTGACTTCTTTAAAAGTAACATCATTGGTCTACTCACAGGCTTCATGTATTCAGCATACTGGTACTTTGCTTATGAATCCAGTAGATTTTAAGTAGTTTCTCTGTGTGGGTAACACAGGACATCTTTCTCATAACCAACAGTCCATAATCTAAAGTGGGCATGGGAAAACTTTGGCCCTCTAGGTTTTTTGGACTTCAACTCCCACAATTCCTAACAGCCTGCCAGCTGTTAGGAATTGTGGGAGTTGAAGTCCAAAATACCTGAAGGGCCAAAGTTTGCTCTTGCCTAATCAAAAGTATCTCTCTGTAATGAGAGTCTAATAGTGTCTCTATCTAATCAGAAAGTCCAATGGTGTCTGAGATCTAAAATGGAATCTGAGCCCTGAGCAAGCCCAGATCTGATTACATGGTCTCCAGCCATTCCCACAACAAAGAGTTTAAAAAGCTGCAAACCAATGTACACATATGCAATACTGTAAGCAACTACATACATAACAAATACCTAGTGGAGGCTTGAAGAAGGTTGCTATTTCCAACACTCTTTGTCTCCATATCAGTCAAACTTCGGCCCTCCAGGTGTTTTGGACTCCAACTCCCACAATTCCTAACAGCCTTAGGCCCTTTCCTTTCCCCTCTCATCCACTTAAGATGGCTAATAGCAAACATGTCACAATACAAAATAAAAATATATGTATTAAATGTATTAAAATGTGAAAATAATTCTAATACTATCACTAATAATAACATTATGTAACATGATTTTTGTTCCTGAGATATAAATGTCATTTCCTAATTGGTTGTATCATTAAAAATAGAGAAAAGGTTTATTAAACAGCAAAAACTTCGTTTTTGTGAGACATCCTGCTATAGCACATTTTGCTATAGTTTTTCAATGAGTATCTCATAGAGCCTAAAGTGATTCAACATAGTTTGGGGCAGCCACAAAAACAAAGTTTCTGGAGTATTACAACTACTTTCAATATAGGTATCACACAATTAAATAGGGAATAACACTTTCAAACCAGGAACATATATATTTTTTTCAAATTGAGTGACATAGTGCAATAATAATAATAATAATAATAATAATAATAATAATAATAATATCACACAGTCCTAGATGCTTGGGAAGTGTTCGACTTGTGATTTTGTGATACGAAATCCAGCATATAGATCTCGTATGCTGTGACATGCTGTGCTTTTGTGTCAATAATAATAATAATGATGATGATAATGATGATGTAGAGTCTTGCTTATCCAACATAAATGGGCCAGCAGAACATTGGATGAGCGAAAATGTTGGAGAATAAGGAGGGATTAAGGAAAAGCTTATTAAACGTCAAATTACATTATGATTTTACAAATTAAGCACCAAAACATCATGTTTTATAACAAATCGACAGAAAAAGCAGTTCAATACATGGTAACGTTATGTAGTAATTACTGTATTTACGAACTTAGCACCAAAACATTGCAATGTATTGAAAGTGCTGTGGATCTGGGCAGGAGTTAGACTGCGTTGGATAATACAGAATGTTATATGACTGAAGGTTGGATAAGCAAGATTGTGTACAATAATAATAATAATAATAATAATAATAATAATAATACCTGCCTCTCTTTGCGCTTGAGTTGAGATACAGCAGGGTTAAAACAAAGCAATAAAACACAACACTATTAAAAAGCATATTAAAAACTACGCAAAGAACCGCTCCCATAAAATGTAGGTTAAAATTGACAGTTAAATATTTAATTGAATTACAATTAGAATTAAAAATCATGAAGCATACAAATTAAAATACAATAAAAATACAATTAAAACTATTGTTGTTTCCGTGCCAACTTTAATGTTTGTGGAAGTAATGTTTCTCTGTGCACCACACAATCTGTTAAGTGTATCTAACAGGCACTCAAAGGAGATTACATTTGGTAAAGGTCCAAATCAGAATTTAAAACAATGGAACATTTTTGCCTCATCCATTTAAGAGAATTTCAAGGAAGCAGAAAGAATAATTCCCAAACTGGAGAGTTACTGTACCTGCCTTCATTTATCTTAGAATTTCAAGGCAGTCTGTTACATGGCAGCATAAAATATGATAAAAGAATGGCTAAAAGTGCTGCTGTCTTAAAACATCACAAAATAAAAAAAACCCATGAACATGTTTCAACCTGGTGCTGGAGAAATTGCGGTGTGGGTGGCAGACAGGCTCTGGGGAGGGGAGGGCATTCCACAGCCGTGAGTGGTTTTAATGGGTCTTTTCGGAGCATGACAAAGTCTGGAACCAGCCCAAGAGGCATTGCTCAGCAATTAAACAAACCAAGCATAGGTACTCTGCTTTACTTCTGCCTTTGAGCCCATAAGGACTAGGAACTTGCTTTTGAAAGTCAAATCTAGATATAGGGCAAAGGTGGTTTCATTGCAGTCCATGCTCTTGTCTTTTAGTACCAACTTTAAAGGAGCTTTCCAAGGTACTGATCTTATTTTGCTGTAATAATAATAATAATAATAATAATAATAATAATAATTTATTTGTACCCCGCACCGTCTCCCGAAGGGACTTGGGCAGCTCACAAAAGCACTAAAGGTGCCGCACATAAAAATAAAATGACACAGTACCAAAACAATACTTAGAACTCATTGCCTTGGGTAAATCCTTTAAAATTCAGAGTACAACCAACAGCAGATTCACAATCATGAAACCAGCCATTGCCCCCGAGTGAGCCTAAACACTTAATTTTCTTCTTGAAGGAACCTGCTGAGATAGATTGTATTGACAGATAGAGATTTTTCTCTAGGCTTTTCAAAGGGTTTCACACCCAGTTCAGCACTCTTTCTGTACTTATCTGTTTAGGTTTGGAGGCTTCAGGGCCACATGCAAATGCAGGCTATGCTACTTAAACGAGAGTGGCTCCACATTAGGAGTTATCATCTATGACTAAGGCATCCTCCTCTTTCAGATAGAATTTCCAAGATCACTCATATAAAATTAACATGAAAATAGCATTATGAAGAAGCCACTATAAACTGGGATTATTTAGCTGAGAAAGTATATAGGTCTTTAAAGATAAAGGTTTCCCCTTGACATTAAGTCTAGTCATGTCCAACTCCTGGGGTGTGTGTGTGTGTGTGTCTCATCTCCATTTCTAAGATGAAGAGCTGACGTTGTCCATAGACACCTCCAAGGTCATGTGGCCACTGGCATGATTGCATGGAGTGCCGTTACCTTCCCACAGGAGTGGTACCTATTGATCTACTCACATTTGCATGTTTTTTAAATGCTAGGTTGTCAGAAGCTGGGGCTAACAGTGGGAGCTCAGCCCATTACGCCACCGGGGCCTCCATATAGGTCTTTATCAAGTGCTTAAAACAGAATAACGCAGCAGAACATTACATAGACAGTGAGCCACCATTGAGTATTTCCTTTTTTATTGTTCTCTGCCAAATCTTAGACCTTATAGTCATTTTGTTTTAACTGTTTTTTAAAGCTATTTTCATTACGCGTGTTTTTGAAACTGATTTAAGAAAAAAACTTGTGCTATCTATTGTTTTAACTGTGTTTTATTATAACTCAAGTTGGATCTAGGGATGCCAGGTTGGGCTATCCTAGGCACTAGGATATCAAAACCAAAACCTGAGACTAAGGATTATCTGTTACGATTTCACAGGGCTCTAGTGATGTTATTAAGCACAATGCATCAACTTTAAATAAATCTATACACCTAATAAAAGTGAAAATATGTATGTGTGTATGTAGCTGGGCTATCCACTTACACAGATAAACTCCTGCCTCCACAAACAGCTACAGCTCCCACTACTCAGGAGACACCAATGGCCCTTCCTCCAATGACATTACAGGTTATAGTGAGTGCCAGGAACATGTCCAAGAGCCCTGCCAGTGTCCTCCACAAACACCATACTGCCCACCACCCAAGTGAAGGCTTTCATATGGGACAATTTCATCCTAGATTTAATGAGTTTCCTCCACCACAGATATCCCAGTGTTTCTTACTCTCTCCATTGGTGTGGAATCCGCATGACTCCACCCACTGCTTCTCCCTTAACCCTTTTTTACTCTTTTCTATGGCACACAGCAAACAGAGGAATTGATCAGCAGCTGAACATACTAGAGAGGTTTGGGGAGAATTCACAATGATTTATAGGAGTTGTAGGTACTGGGATGTATAGTTCACCTGCAATCAATGAGCACTCTACTCCACCAAAGAGGGAATTGGGCCAAACTTGGTACACAGAGCCCTAATGATCAGCAAAAAATACTGGAGGTCTTTGGGGGAATGTCATCTTGATTTGGGGGAGCTGTAGTTCACCTCCATCCAGAGAGTACTGAGAACCCAAACACAAATGGATCTGGACCAAACTTTTCTTTTCGAGGCAGTGCTCACACTCTGAGATTCCTCCTCTTTTTCCCTGAGAGGGGGTTCTGGGCCTGAGATTCAGGGCCAAGCCTTGAGATCCGGCAACACTAAATGAATTCCATTTTTTAGGAAAAGGGAGTATATTCCATACACACATATTGATATGATTGCATATTGGCAGAGAACATAATGTTCCATTCCCTTGTTCTTGATTATTTTTGTTCCCTGTGCTTAAGTATGTAGAAGTCATGAGCACCAAACAAAGTGAGCTGGATCAGTATGTGGCTGAAGGCTACAAGGCAGCTTTGACGGAAGAGAGGCGCCGCTACTCCTTCCTCGTCGATCGTCAATGCGCCGTTTCCAAACATTTCAGCAACTATCATAGTAAGGTGAGTAAAATCCACCACACAGGAGGGAACCCCATTTTTCACCACATTCCGCCACCCTCGATATAGGCATTAGATTGTAGTTCTCCTTGTTATATTTAATAATTTGCTTTAGGGCATTTATACTCTTCCTCCTCCTCTCCTTCCCAGAGCTCAAGGCAAAATATAGCAGTATCACATTAAAAGCACACTTGCGGTTTAAAGCAAACACACAAGAGGCACAGAAGATAATGTCGCAACAGCAGTCAAAACATTCCAGATATTTTTCTTTTAAAAAACTCAACAGATTCAGTGTGTTGTTTTTTTCACTACAACTTCCAGACTAGTCAAATCAGGTTTTAAAAGATTAGGTCAAAATGCACACATTAAATGTAAACCTAGAAAGGAAGGCCTTCACCAGATTTCAGAAGGTTGTTGATGGGGAAGTAAGATTAGCATCCTGTCCTTTGATAGAAAAGGGATGTAGAGAAGGGCCATATGCATTCTGCAATTCTATAGAATTTGCAATAACTGCAGAAGCAAAGAGCAGTTTCACAGGGAGAATTTTCCTCTCAACCACAGCAGAAAAGAAAAGAGTTAAATTCTCAATCCAGATATGATATGATTCCCACAGCTATCAAATTAGCTGGTTCAATTTACATATTTAAAAACGGTGTGTTAAAGTATGTATATTCTTTACTTCTAGTTTGGTCCTAGGTTTAACTCTTACAGGTTTCAAAATAAAAAAGATACCACTAAAATTACATTAATTGAGGCACACAGCTTCTCCTCTCGGTACAGCAACCCAGCTGGGTTGTTTTTGCTTTTTGTGTGTGTCAGGAGTGACTTGAGAAACTGCAACTTGCTTCTGGTGTGAGAGAATTGGCCGTCTGCAAGGATGTTGCCCAGGAGACGCCTGGATGTTTTGATGTTTTACCATCCTTGTGGGAGGCTTCTCTCATGTCCCCTCATGGGGAGCTGGAGCTGACAGAAGGAACTCATCCACACTCCCCCCCAGATTCGAACCTCCGAGCTGTTGTCTTCAGTCCTGCCAGCACAAGGGTTTAATCCATTGTGCCACTGAGGCTCCTTAGTGGGTTGCTGGGTCAAGAGGAGAGGTTGCGTGCCTTCCTCTCCTCCTCTCTCGGCACAGAGATCCAGCTGGGTTGCTGTGCCAAAAGGAGAGGAGGCCGGCAGCTGTTGGAAGCCCTGCGAAGGGCTTCTTTCAGCCCCACGTCTTCCCACCAGGACCCTCACTCAAGCCAAGGAGGCCTTTTTCAGCATTAAACATATGCTGAAAAACTAGGCTTATACTCAAGTATATACAGTATTTCCCAATTTAAATACACAACCATTTTAAATTTCAAGATTGTCAAGTTTAAGTATGAGAGGGTCGAAACTGGTTATCCCCAAGAAACCAAAACAATCACTGCGTTTTTCAACCCCTGCAGGTGCGGGAACTGCTGGCCACCAAGTTGCCCATCTGGCAAGCGTCATGCACCCAGCCCACCCGGTTACCAGAACGGGCACTGGCCTTGGTCAAGCTCACAGCCAATAACATCTCCAGTGGGGCTCCCCTCCCTGATCCTGGAAGATCCCCTGATCCCCTCCCTAATGCCAAGATCCTGGAAGAGCTGTCAGAGTTGGGAGCAAATCATGTAAGTATGTGGTTAGTGGCAGCTAGTGACGTGTCAGTTAGTCCTCCCTAGCTTGCTCCTTCACCATCGGTTTTAGTGGAGAAAGGGGTCCAATTTTGTTCTCCACAGTATCGAACAAGCAACCCTTAAATTAGCGATATGACGCTTTTCCACAGGTTTCTGTAGCCTTCTTTTCAGGTGACAGTTTTTCTAAAGTATGAGAAAAGGTTGAAAAATGGGATGCTTTTGAGCTGCTACACTGAAGAATGTTAGATAGTTTCACCATGTCTCCTGGGTCATCAGTTGGGAGCCCCTCCTCCCAGCAACAATATAGTACTATATAGTATTAATATTGTGCTATACTAATAATATAATATATTGTATGTACATATAATATTGATAGTAATATTATAATGTAATACAATATAATACTAAAAATAATACAATATAATAATTGTATATTATATATTACATGTAATATTACTAATAATTTTGCAGTATAATGGTATAGTGCAATATAATAATATATAATACTAATACTGTTCTATGCTAATAATATAATATATTTTATGTACATATAATATTTATAATAATATTATAATGTAATACAATAGAATACTAAAATAATACAATATAATAATTGTATATTATATATTACATGTAACATTACTAATAATATTGCAGTATAGTGGTATAGTACAATATTGTAATATATAATACTAATATTGTGCTACGCTTATAATATAATATTTTGTATGTACATACAATATTGATTATAATATTGTAATACAATATTCTAAACATAATACAATATAATATTATATGTAATATTACTAATAATATTGCCGTATAGTGGTATAGTACAATATTGTAATTCTAAAAATAATACAATATAATATTATATGTAATATTACTAATAATATTGCCGTATAGTAATATATGTACAATATGGTAATATATAATACTAATATTGTGCTATGCTTATAATATAATATTTTGTATGTACATATAATAGTCATCATAATATTGTAATACAATATACTAAAAATAATACAATATAATAATTGTATATTATATATTACATGTAATATTACTAATAATATTGCCGTATAGTTGTATAGTACAATATAGTAATATATAATAGTAATATTGTGCTATGCTAATAATATTGTATGTACATATAATTTGTAAGCCTCTCTGAGTCCCCTTCAAGGTGAGAAGGGTGGGATATAAATGTCGGAAATAATAAATGTTGTGGCTACAACACTGGAAATTCCTTTGGGGTTATTATTATTATTAATAATAATAATAATAATAATAATACCCTGCTTTATCTCCCCAAAGGGAACTCAAAGTGGCTTTTGAGTGATGTAATCACCCCGAGGTAATATTTCTGACCTCTTGATGCTCAAATGGCCTCTTGTTTGTTTCTCCCCCTTGTCTTGTCTCATTTCTCCTATCTTTTGGAACTTTTCCTGCTCAATCCACATAGCGTGCTTCAGTCCAGGAGGTGACCCCATTGCCAAATGGTGATTCACACCGTGGACGTGGTTCTCGGGACTTGGGCCATCCACCAATTAATGAAACCATCACCATCACATCAGGTCTTCCACCCACACAAACCACTCAGACCCCTCCGCAGACAAAGACTGCTGACAGCTACTCCTGCACCCTGCCAATGCCACGCAAGATGTCAATGGAGACTCGCCTGGCAACCTTGGGTGAGTCTCCTACGCTGATCCCAACCACAATCCTTGTTTATCGTGCATCCTTTAATACAGGGCTGAATGGGACAGTTCCTTTCCTTGATTGTTCTAGAATTCTGGCATCTGATTGGTCCTGTTCTCATTAAATTCTGGTCAGAAATTCAGGCTTTGGAACATTGGAAAAGAACAAATCCTTTTTACGGGCTCTTCCTGTTCTTTAAAACAAAAACAGCAGACTTATGCAGTTTCACCGTTGCATCCTTTTGGAACTCATGAAGCTAGATGAAAAGATTCAGGATTCACAAAGGCGCCTAATCCTTTGGGGAGTGAGAGGCGAGAAGAGCCAGCATGGGGTAAACAGTAGGTGGAAAGACAAATTTGTAGTGAAAAAAAAACCAAAAACAAACCTGTTTTAAAATCTAGGGAAAGGTTATACGCTAAAATTTAACAGCAAATTTGATTTCATGCTATCAGGTTCTAATTTGAAATATATTCCGTGTATATTCCCTGTACATTCTCTTTGGGAGAATTGGGTTAAGATAAATTCCAAAACAAAAAACACCAAAAAACCAAAATTACAAACCTAACTTGTGTTCACACAAAATGATCATGTAGTCTGAAATCTTTCTGGTGCCAGGTAGAAAGCAAAATGTTCTATACCAAAGGGAGCCACTGTCAGAAATATTAAAAGTTAACTAGTTATCTTTAATTGCAAAAAATGTGAGTCAAGCACTGAAAGGGTTAAATGAATGCAATGACTGAGGAAAAGCTGCAGTTCCATATAAGCAGATGTGCCTGTAGCTTAGTAGGCCTCTGTGTTAGTTTGCCTCAGTGGGAGAAAGGTCTCAGTCTGTGAGAAGAACTCACAGTGTGAGGTAGGCCTTCGTCTGTGAGGTAAACCTTGGTATGAGAAGGCCTCGTGTGTGAAGCTCTAGTGCAGTGTTTCTTAACCTGGGGGTCGGGACCCATGGAGGGGTCACGAGGGGGTGTCAGAGGTGTCACCAAAGATCATCAGAAAACAGTATTTTCTATTGGTCATGGGGGTTCTGTGTGGGAAGTTTGACCCAATTCTATCGCTGGTGGGGTTCAGAATGTTCTTTGATTGCAAGTGAACTATAAATCCCAGCAACTACAACTCCCAAATGTCATAATTTATTTCCCCCACACTCCACCAGTGTTCACATTTGAGCATATTGAGTATTCATGCCAAGTTTGGTCCAGATCCATCATTGTTTGAGTCCACAGTGCTGCCTGGATGTAGGTGAACTACAACTCCAAAACTCAAGGTCAGTGCCCACCAAATCCTTCCAGTATTTTTTGTTGGCCATGGGAGTTCTGTGTGCCAAGTTTGGTTCAATTCCATCATTGGTAGAGTTCAGAATGCTCTTTGATGTATAGTAGTTTAACTATACATCCCAGCAACTACATCTCCCAAATGACAAAATCAATCTGTCCCAGCACCAGTATTCAAATTTGGATGTATCGGGTATTGCCAGATTTGATCCCATGAATGAATGAAGATACACCCTGCATGTCATATATCATATATTTACATTACAATTCACAACAGTAGGAAATTACAGTTATGAAGTAGCAATGAAAATAATGTTATGGTTGGGGGTCACCACAACATGAGGGATTAAGTGGTCACGGTGTTAGGAAGGTTAAGAAACATTGCATTAGTGTGAAGGTTGAACTTTATTTGTGTCATGGAAACCTTGTTCTTGTAAATAGTGCAGCCATATTGTTTTGCTATAAAGAAAATCCTCCTTTGGAAGAGATAACATTGGTCTGTGTGTTTTTGTTCTTTTTATCACTTTGGGCTACTTGTGTTGAGTCATGCTGCTGTTGCTAAGTTACTCTGCTGTGCATTTATGAGAAGGGTCTTTTATTAATAAGCCCACTCACCCAACAGTCACATCTATTTACTTTCCTGTCCCACTCCTCCTTCTGTCCCTACAGTGGAGAACAAGACGCTGCCCCGCATCAGTCCGCTTTCGATCTTGCCTTCCCGTTCTGAGCGCCGGAGGGTCCAGGCAATATTCTCACATGCGGCAGGAGAGAACACCACTTTGCTCAACTTCCAGGAGGGAGATGTTATCCTTTTGTTGGTGACTGAGGCACGGGATGGCTGGCATTATGGGGAAAACGAGGCGACCAAATTGTGAGTAAGATCCTCCTCACTGCTTCCTCTGGCTTCAACTAGCCCTTTGTACTACGTGTTGGGTATTTCTGATATGCATTGGGTGCTCCTGTTGTGTTTTCATACTTCCTAGTTGATATCTGGATGCCCATTGGAGTGTCCGGTCCATTGCACATGAGGACGTGGTGTATCAGACCTGCCACTAGTTTCCACTAGCACCATGGCAGCTTCTAGGTCAGGCATGGGCAAACTTTGGCCCTACTGGCTGTTAGGAATTGTGGGAGTTGAAGTCCAAAACACCCGGAGGGCCGAAGTTTGCCCTTGCCTAATCTAAAGCCTCTCTCTGTTCTGAGAGTCTAATAGCATCTCTATCTAATCTGAAAGTCCAATGGCGTCTGAGATGTAAAGTGGAGTCTGAGCTCTGAACAAGCCCAGATCTGATTACATGGTCTGCAGCCATTCCCACAACAAAGAGTTTTAAAAACTGCAAACCAATATACAAATATACAATACAGTAAGCAATTACATACATACTAGTGGAGGCTTGAAGAAAGTTGCTATTTTCAGATTTGCCCATGCCTGATCTAAACCAACAGTACTGATGCTTCTACATGTCCAAACTACATGACATTACAGCATATATAGAAAGGGCTGAGAGGGAAAAGGAAGGGGCCTGAGGCTGTTAGGAATTGTGGGAGTTGAAGTCCAAAGCACATGGACGGCCAAAGTTTGCCCATGCCTGTTCTAGGTGGATACTGATGTTAAGTATTGATTTCATTCACTTTGGTGTGCCCATAAGGCCATTTACAAAAACAGACATCGCAAGTGGGATGCCAACCAAAAAGTGTTTCTATGGCTTCAGCTTTTTGGAAATTTTACATCTTTCTCTCAGATGGATTCTTAAAGGATCTCAGTTGGCAGCAGAGAATGGGAGATGTCTCCCCCTGTGATTTCAGTGAGCCACATCAAAGCAGTCGATGAGTGCCTGATTCAGTACCAAACCACTAGAGGTAACCTGCAAGGAGCAGCAGCTAGGAAGCTCTTCTTACACTGTCCTTGGTTTGCCAAGGACTCCCAAATTCTGGCTCTGTTTCTTGGCGGACACAGCTCCTTGCTGCTTCTTGTCCTTCAGAGGGGCCTATATATCTGGAACTTCAAGAGAATAGGAAGTGGCTGTGTGTCATTTCCCTTCCTGTTTTAAATGTCTGCTTCCCTTCCTTCATTCTGCAGGAAAGGCTGGTTTCCTTTCTCTTACACTCGGCCGTTCCCTCCAGTCGAAGGGGTTGACAAATTACTTGGCAGGTGAGGCATTCATATTTTGGCGGGCAGGGGGCCGGGGGAGACTTTTGAGATGAGTTTTGGTTTTTGGATTATACAATCTCTGGAGAAGCTGCATTTGCACCTGTTTTTCTAAATTGACAAGCAGGGATGTGAATTTCCACTTATTTGATTCACATATACAATTTGAATATCCCTTATCTAGAAATCGGAGCTCCTGGTGGCGCAGCGGGTTAAACCGCTGAGCTGCGAACTTGCTGACCAAAAGGTTGGCAGTTTGAATTTGGGGAGCTAGGGGAGCTCCCACTGTTAGCTCCAGCTTCTGCCAGCCTAGCAGTTCAAAAACATGCAAATATGAGTAGATCAGTTGGTACCACTTCAATGGGTGGTGCTCCATTCAGCCATTCCAGCCACATGACCCTGGAGATGTCTATGGACAACACCCGCTCTTTGGCTTAGGAATGAAGATGAGCACCACCCCCCAGAGTTGGACACGTCTAGACTTAATGTCAAGGGTTCACCTTGTACCTTTATCCAGAAATCTGAAATGATCCCAAATCCAAAAATGTCCACATGAGTGTCTGAGATAGTGACACCTTTGCTTTCTGTACACAAATTTTGTTTCCTGTATAACATTATTTCAAAATATTGTATATAAAGCTACCTCCAAACTATGCGTATAAGATATATATGAAACATATATGAATTTGATGTTTAGATTTCGGTCTTGTCTCCAAGATAGCTCAGTTAGTACATACAGTATATGTAAATACAGGTCTCCCAAAATCTGAAAAAAACCTAGAATCCAAAATACTTATGTTCCCAAGCATTATAAGTAAGGGATATTCAGCCTATATACGAGCAAAGAATTTTAAAAGGTTTCTTCCCCCTTTGTTTGTACATTTTCCAATGACCTTTTATGTTTCTGCACACAACATGGTATTTGCTGGAAAAAGAAAAAAGCAGAAAGAGAAGGAAAACTTTTGGAAAGCTTACTTTTAAAAACCTTAATGTATGCCTCATCTGTAACTAGGGTAATTTACTATATATGCCTTGGGTCCCATATTGAGAGAAAAGTGGGATATAAAACGTTAAAGCAAAGCATAATACAAAGTTATTGAGTTCTATGTATTGTCTAAGGCTTTCGTGGCCGGAATCACTGGATTGTTGTAAGTTTTTCGGGCTGTATGACCATATTCCAGAAGCATTCTCTCCTCCTTTACAACCTCTGAGGATGCCTGCCATAGATGCAGGTGAAACGTCAGGAGATAATGCTTCTGGAACGTGTCCATGAACCCCGAAAAACTTACAACAACCCACTAGGACACACCCTCTCAACTTAGTGTGCAGCACAAGAATGGTTAGGAGGATAAAAATGGAGCCACGTATGCCTCTCTGGGTTCCTGGAAGAAAAGACAGGATGTAGAGTTAACAAAAAAAATTAAGTAGGAAATGGATAGGAAAATCTGCAATGAGCCAACATGATTTGAGTGCTGGTATGTAAGGAATTAGTGGAGGAATAAGATTTGGCACTCAGGCTCTCCTGAAAAAGGAGAGGCAGTGGATGGGATAATAGGGGGAGGAAATAAGGATGTGAGACTGTGGAGGCCCTATGAAAGGCACACATTGGCTGAAACTTTGTTTTTGTTCTTGTGTAGTGGCTTCCCCCTTAGCAAAATGAACAGTAGCAGTACAGGAAATTTGGACCGAGCTGGGTCTCCATCTGTTGGCGCTGATATTGGGGATTGCCCACGATACGGTCCTTCACCTCGTGCCAGTACATCCCGCCAACGTCCTTACAGCATGCTAAACCCAGATCTGTCACAGGTGAGTGCTGTGTGAGAGAGAGAAAGAGAGAGAGAGCGCACGCACATGTGCGCATGACAAATAATGTATGTGTGTTTTTCTATCTCTTTCTGTGAGAGAATTGGCTGTATGCACGGACGTTGCCTAGGGACGCCTGAATCTTTTGATGTTTTACCATTCTTGTGGGAGGCTTCTCTCATGTCCCCGCAGAGAAAGCTGGAGCTGACGGAGGGAGCTCATCCACGCTCTCCCCAGATTCAAACCTCCCTCAGTCTTCAATCCTGCAACCAGAAGTGCAAGTCGCTCCTGTCACGAAAGAAACGTGTTTCTGTACTGCCACCCAATGGTCAAAGTCCAAAAAGCAACATTTCTTGAAGAATGCAATTGTCAATTTTTAAAACACTATTTGCAACACCCCCCCCCCCCCCCCCCCCCCCCCAAATGGATTTTCTGAAATCTTCAGGCCTGAATCTTTCCTGTTTTAATCTCTAATACTTGTTGGCAGTTTTAATTCCTGTTTTATTTCTTGACTGCTTTCAATTTCCTATTTTGTAACTGTTTTATCAGGTTGCTTTTGTGTTGTCGTTTTATCATCCTGTCGTTTGTAATTGGATTTGTATTCTTATTGTGTTTTTATTGTGTCTTATAGCGTTTTTAATCCGCCTTGGAATTTAATTGTGCCTTTGTTCTATTTTTAACTGATTGCTCAGAAAACTTGAGAAAGTTCTTTTGAGCACTGTATAAGCCTTGTTGTGTGCCTTCAAGTCATTTCTGACTCCTGTCGACCCTAAAGCAAGCTTCTCATAGGATTTTCCTGGCAAGATTTGTCCAGAGGGAGTTTGCTTTTGCCATCCTCTGAGGCTGAGAGGTTCTGAGTTGCCCATGGTCTGCTGGGTTTGCATGGCCTTGCAGGGAATTCAGATCCAAAATCCTACTGCAACCCTAAAACTACTCCCCCATGGTGGTTCCCAAAGACACAGTGTAGTTATTTATTGTCAAGTAATTAGCTGAGCTGCTGAACTTGCTGACAGAAAACTTGGTAGTTTGAATTGAGGGACCGGGATGAGCTCCCAATGTTAGCCCCAGCTCCAGCCAACCTCACAGTTTGAAAACATGCAAATATAAGTAGATCAATAGGTACCGCTTCTGCGGGAAGGTAATGGTGCTCCGTGTAGTCATGCTGGCCACATGACCTTGGAGGTGTCTACGGACAACGCCGGCTCTTTGGCTTAGAAATGGAAATGAGCACCATCCCACAAACACAACTAGACTTAATGTCAGGGGAAACCTTTACCTTTACCTTAATTAATCAACAGAGATCTCACTCTCTGGGCCCTTTGCATGAATGAAAAGGATCTGAACGTCCATCTTTTTTGGCTTCCTTTCCAGCTAGCAAATGAGTTTGGAAGTCCAACATCTTCTCCTTCAAGGTAAGAAAACTTCAGAAATGCTGCATGGTACTCTCCATTCTGCCACTTCAGTCACTGTGATGCTTTGACTAGCTCAGCTTTGAAAAGCTAATTTTTGAGCCGACAGCTCCTCAGATTCCCAAGACAACATAATCAGTGAGGAATTTTATGGATTGTAGTGTAAAAGTGAACATTTTTAGGGAATACCTTTTCTTTTTCCAGCTTCAAAGAGCATCCTAATACTTTTCTTCTCTGCCACTACAGGACCAACCCCTTTGCTCACATCAGGCTGAAACGTACAGTGACCAATGACCGCTCAGCCCCGCTCATCCAGTGAGACAGGAGAGGTGGAAACAGACTGGTGCCCCTGCTTGTCTCTCTCTCACCCCCAGCACATTGCTTTTCCCAACTAATGAAGCTCTTATGACTCAGAATGGGTGGCACCGGTTGAGCCAGTTTGGGTCTGTGTCCTTGTCACCCCTCCTTGTGACCACTGAGTGTTTCGGCTCCCCCAGCCTTGGATCTGGGGAGATGGTGTACAGCAGAGAGGCCACACGGTGTTACTTAGTGATGACAACTTGTCTAGGGACAGCATACCAACAGCAGAAGAACTGAAGGCAAAAAGAGTGGAGGAAAGAGCGAAGGCAATGGAGGCAGAGGTGAAACAGTTGGATGAGTGGAGGCAGAAGAAAGTTGGAGGATGTAGGACCAGAAGGCAGATGGAAGGAAGAGAAGACAAGGGTGGAGGAGTTCCTCGAGTCACTCTCACATGACAATGTGTGTGGACGGCATGTGATTCAATCTGGGCATTTGGATGCAGTTCAAAATCCATAGAACACAGTGGCAAGTACCCACTAATTTTGCTATGTGTGGATTGCACCATATCTGGGAACAACCCCCTCATGTCAGTGGTCTACATTCCCTAGTAAGGGTTTTCAAAACAAATAGAAAGCGAGGAGTGCTTAATTTCAATCGCAGTCAATGTGCTTTAAGAGTTTCTGGTCTTGGTCTGTCTTAAATTCACTTCACTTGCTTAATCGTCGTTGTCATTTGATAGTCTAGTTCAGTGGTTTTCAACCTGTGGGTCCCCAGATGTTTTGGCCCACAATTCCCAGAAATCCCAGCCAGTTTACCAACTGTTATGACTTTTGGGAGTTGAAGGCCAAAACATCTGGGGATCCACAGATTGAGAACCACTGGTCTAGTTGAGCGTACACAACTTTTCATGCTATGATAGGGTTGCCTTTCAAGACCAATTATTATTTAAAGACAGTTGTCTTTGTGGGTCCCTTTTAGGTCATCCCGATTTAGCCCAAAATGTCAGGACAGAGAAAGAGAGATGGTTTGGGAGAGAGGATGGAGTTAGCATAAACAGGATGGAAGAATTCTGGAATATCTGAATATCTGAATTCAGGATTGAATTCTGGAATATCTGAATTCAAGATTGATTTGCATATCGAGTTGACTTGATATTTGAGTCAAATCCAGTTCACTCAAGTTAGCATCACTTGGCACTGGACTCCATAGAAAAACACTGAATTTGGAGGAAAGTGTTCATTCTCTATGTGCTGTCATATCCATGTATTAATTCATGGAAATTCTGAATTCATCTTGGAATCATCAAGTGATGAGCATACATGCGTGAAGCAGCCCTTGGTGACTTGGGATAGAATGTGTGAGCAGCCACCACTGAAAGTTTAATGATATTTCAAATGATTTGATCTGCTCTGGCTGCTTAGGCATGCATGACATTATATGACATTACCTTCCCTAAGTGATGGCATTCATGTCAACTTGTGTTCAGTGACTGGGAACATGGAGGCCTTGTGGGTTGAAAAGGAGCTGATTAATTGTCAGAACGTCTAGAAGTATATTTACGGCAGTTGTTCATGGTCTGCTGGATAGCCCATGAACAATCTTATCTAGCCAGCTAATGAGTTTTGAGTTGTCTTCAAACAGATGTTACGATGCTTTCATAGAAAAAAAACTAATATACTTCTCACTAATTTAATTTCATGAAACAAAGGCCACAAATCTTCATCACAGTTTCATGTTGCAATGTATATTGATTTGTATAGTATTTAAACATAACTTTATTACACTAGGTTAAATGGCAGTCTATACAAAATTTAGAGATTCTGCCAGGGTTCCCAAATAGTATAGTGGGTTGAAGACAGAAAAGACTGAACTTCGATTCCTGAGTTTTGAGGGAAGATTGTAGATTAGAGCAAGGAAACAGACAAACTTTTGGGTTTGTTATTCAATTTTAGTTGCTGGAACAACAGCAGTATTTCCTGTTTTGGGGACCAAAGGGCAAGGCCAAATTGAGTAATTCAACTGTTGATTTTGTCAAAAGGAGGAAAGTTTTATTTATTTGTACACAAAATAGTGTACTGCCCTATTTCCTGTTCTCTTTCCCACGGTGCTCCATGCAGTCATGCCGGCCACATGACTTTGGAGGTGTCTACGGACAACGCCTCCGCTTAGAAATGGAGATGAGCAGCAACCCCCAGAGTTGGACACAACTGGACTTAATGTCAGGGGAAAACCTTTACCTTTTACCTTTGCGTGGGGCAACTAAACCTGGGTTCAAGAGTCAAGAGGCTGTCCCCTGCAGGAACAGATATTACAAAATCCTTGACCAGGCCTAAGAGCAGGGCTGGCCTTGCTTTTCATATGCTATCATCTTGCCTTCTTAGTAAAATTTTGTGGGAAGGCTAAAACATCAACCTCTTCTACTTCCAACCCTCCTATTTTTTATTTTATTTCTTTCTTTCATTTTCTTTCTTTCCATGCCAAAAGTCTACTAGGGAGGCAAAGATGGACTACATGCATGCTGTCTCTGGCTTAGTAGCATGAGGAATTGTACATTTGGAAGCATCCTAAATGGATTCAGTTTGGAGTCACACTATATACCCCATCACTCTCATTCTTTAGTTGGCTTTACTTTTGGCAGTATTAACTCGTCTTTCATGCCAAATTTGATGGTTCCCTACTCACCTTATTCTGGTATATCCAGGACAGTATTCAATTGATAGTATTAAATCTTAACTGCATTGGAAGTGGGATGTTGAAAAAAGCAGATCAGCAGAACAAAACTTAAACCTTCCAACTGTCCTGATCTGGCAAACTCAGGGCTGATTAATCTTCTGTTGTCTCACTTGTTTTCTCCCTTCCATTTTCATCTTTGTCTTCAGTTTACTTCACTTGCTGGAAATGTGTCCATAATGGAAAAAAGTTTGCACACTGTTAACTAAGGGCCTGTCCAGACAGTGCTTTTATCCCAGGAGCTTCTGCAGCAAACAGGAGGGTGGCCAGATGCTGTTCCCTGTAAACGCGGAAGCAATCGCTGCAAAAGGCAAAAAACACGAGATTTACAGGTGCAGGAATGTCGCAGTTTTGAGCTGAATATGCAGATCTTCGCATGTTTGTATGTTCCTGCAATTGGAAATCACGGGACTTTTAAATCTTGGTTTTAGATATTTGTTACTGATTGGTTGGTTCCAAAAAAGTAAGTGATCATTGAGTAGAAAGCAAAAACTTTGTTTGTGTGCCAGAAACTTCATGAAAGGTGTGGAGGGCACAGTTTCTCTGGCCAGGATAAAGAACGGAACTTTTGTTGTGATATATCCTCCACATATCTGCAACTTGAGGGCTTTAAAAATGCTGAAGTTTCTGGCAGAGGTCCCATAGTGACCATCTTGGGAGTCTCTAAGTCTTATAATAAAGCATTATGTCTGGACAACAGAGGCAGAAATCCTGGGACCAAAAGGTCTGTATGTGGATCTCTCCTGAAGTCCTGGGATTTTTTGCCTCTGTTTAAAACCCGTGATTTAGTGCTGTCTGGAAGTGCCCTCAGTAGTAGAGATTAAGGTGTATCATCTTGCCATTTCCTTTTAGATCTGACAAAACCATAGCGCTGCACTCTCTCCTAGTTTATGTGTTCCTACTTGCTAATTACTTTTGCCATCTCAACCACACTCTGATGTTATGTAGACTTGTCCCAATTTTCATCTGTGATGAAAATCAGGTGTAAAATAAGGCTATTAGTTTGAAAATGTACAGTCTGTTTTCAAAATCTTGATTGAGTGAAAGGGTGGGGGGAAATGCATGCATTGATGAGGTCGGATTGCATTTCAGTGAAAGGTGGCTACAGATGAAATGAGGAAAAGGGTTGAAGATGGAAAGAGAAGCAGATTTCTGTTTTGTTGGATGCTTCTGGAATAACATCTAAAATTGAAACTTGCTCCTTTTCTCTGCCAAAAAGAAAGTGTGCTCCAGGCCTAGGAAGGACCCACATATTAAAAAGGAGGTGTGTTGATGCTCCTGTTATCATTTTGACTATTGCATGGGAAGTATTAAGTGTGGATGTACCTTCTCTTCTCCTTCCATTTCTGCTTCACATCTAAAATTGTTCTCAATCACAGAATAGGCCCTGTTGGGTACCTGTCAGGACTGTGGAGGGAAAATTCGTCAGCAGATGATGGACAGCTAGAAATGGAATTTTAATTTTCGTTGGGGTGATATAGTTTCAGGGTGGAAATATAGCTGCAAGCAATCTTTACAAAATAACCAGACGTAGCAAATTGTGATTCTAATGTGCTATATATTGTAAACCTCTTAAGGTGGATGTGTGCCTTACTAGCAGCAAGCGCCTAATATTACTGTACTTACAGTGTGATCCTATACATATCTACTCAGAAGTAACTCGTGTTGAGTTCAGTGGTGCTTACTCCCAGGTGAGTAGGTACAGGATTGCAGCCTTAGGGATATACTAAAAAAATAAGTGTTATCTCTGCATTTCCCACTCTTCACTAGAGACAAATGACCCCCATCACCACACCCTTTATGTCTCTATATGTTGTTCCTTGTATGTGATTGTTTCAACTGAAACAATGGTCAGGTTCTTTGACATTTCCCAAATTTCTACCTGAAAAGACAGAAGCATGCAGGTAGATTGTAGGATGTCATATCTGTGTAAAAGTTTACAAATTCCACAATTCATCACTGAAGGTTAAAATGGCTATTAGTTTTGACATTGGGATGCTTTTCTTTCAAGAAGTGAGAACATGATATATGATTTACAGTAGCACAACACTTTGTTAACACCAGCACACAACCCCCCCACACACACCAGCAAAGTGTGTGTGTGTGGGTTGATTAATGAAAAGAGTGCAAGATGGATTGTTGTCCTGTTGTGAGTTTTCTTGGATGTATTTCTGTGAATATTTGAAATGAATCCTGTAAGTGCCAACAACCAGTTACCACATTTACCACAATATGTAATGTAACAGCTTCTCAAGGTAGTTGCTTGTATTGTCTGTCTGAATCAGTGGTTCTCAACCTGTGGGTCCCCAGATGTTTTGGCCTTCAACTCCCATAAAGACTAACAGCTGGTAAACTGGCTGGGATTTCTGGGAGTTGAAGGCCAAAACACCTGGCGACCCACAGGTTGAGAACCACTGGTCTAAATAGTGATGCTTCATATCAAGCCATCATCAAGCCTGGCATCAGGGAAGCAATGAAGTGTTGAAATTTGCCTCCCTTCTTTGTTGAGGCAATTCAGTTATTACACATGGGCTGTGTTAGTTACTAACTGGAAAAAGCTTTTTTTTAAAAAACTCTGAAAACAACAACCACATATAGTTTCCATCTTGGGGGTTTTAGACTCTTGTTTGTATTTGCATATAAAAGCATCATTGCATTGGGACATATGATATGAATGGTGCAGATGGCCGTGGAGTTGTGGGAGAGTCTCATTAGCTATGTATATATCTCTGTGTTGATACTTGCTAATTCTAATATTAATAAAGTTTAATATAAACCTATGCCTGATGGAGAATTCTGATTACCTGGAAAACCATTTGCTGTGTCCAATTTTCTCATTTATTCAGCACTCCAATTATTGAAAATCTGCCTCTCCTGCTGCTGTGAAAGAAGGCCAAGAGCCAAGATCTAGCTCTTCCTGAGGAGCCAACCCAGCCCCTTCCTATAAACCTGATTTTCTGATCCAACAGAGTTTTTGTGGGCCACACTTTGCTTTAGAACAGGGACAGGATCGTGTTTGTTTAAAACAAAACTTCAGCGAGTGAATGTTGCTCCATCAGCCCTTTGTTGTCGTCATCTGCCTTCTGTCATTTCTAATAAAAGTGACCTAAGGTAGTGGTTCCCAACTTTTTTTAGACCAGGGTCCACTTTCCAACATTAGTACCCAAAGGGTTATCAATCTGTTTTTGGTCAACTTTAGATTCGGTTTGGTTATTTGGGATTGTTGTAGTTGTTTATTCATTCAGTCGCTTCCAACTCTTCGTAATCTCATGGACCAGCCCATGCCAGAGCTCCCTGTCGGCCATCACCACCCCCAGCTTCTTCAGAGTCAAGCCAGTCACTTCAAGGATACCATCCATCCATTTTACCCTTAGTCGGCCCCTCTTTCTTTTTTCTTCCATTTCCTCCAGCATCATTATCTTCTCCAAGCTTTCCTGTCTTCTCATTATGTGGCCAAAGTACTTCATTTTTGCCTCTAAAAGCAGTCAGGCTTTATTTCCCGAAGTATGGATTGGATGGATCTTCTCACAGTCCAAGGCACAGTCACTCTCAGAATTTTCCTCCAACACTATAGTTCAAAAGCATCTATCTTTCTTCACTCAGCTTTCCTTATGGTCCAGCTCTCACATCCATAGGTTACTACGGGGAATACCATTGTTTTAACTATGCGGATCTTCATTGCCAGTGTGATGTCTCTGCTCTTCACTATTTTATCAAGATTGGTCATTGCTCTCCTCCCAAGAAGGGAACGTCTTCTTATTTCCTGGCTGCAGTCTTCATCTGCAGTCATCTTTGAGCCTAGAAATGCAAAGTCTGTCACTGCCTCCATGTATTCTCCCTCTATTTGCCAGTTATCAATCAGTCTTGTTGCCATAATCTTGTTTTTTTATGTTTAACTGCAGCCCAGCTTTTGCACTTTCTTCTTTCACCTTGGTTATTTGGGGTGCTGATTCAGAAAATTGGATTGGATAGACAACATCAGCTCCCATTTCTGATACAGAACATGTGCCATCCAGTAGTCGCATCTGCTCATCCACAGAAAACCATATTTAATAATCTAGAAATGATTTGGTAGTAGTAATCTTGTGGGTAGTCAGCCTCTCACTTTCCAACATCCCCATTGCCTTGGCACTATAGGAGGGTTTTGTGAGACCAGTCGGTCTTGTTGCTGTGTGGTTTCAAGGCAACAGTATAATTATAGTGAGTCTGCAGACCATATTTTCGTTCTTGTTGACCACTGATGATTCATGGACTACCAGCTGGGAACCACTGCCCTAAGGCAAACCTATCACAATGGTTTCTTAGGAGAAATAGTTTCAGAGTGGAGATGGACTTTGCCTTGAGAGAGTAGTGGCTGAGAGAGTAGTGACTTGTCTAAGATCACCCGGTGGGATTCCATGGTCAAACATGGGTTTGAACCCTGTTCTGTCATACTTCACATTCAAACCTCAACACCATACCGATTCTCTTACTCCCTCCAAATTTGAAAAGTGTATTTATTCTTCCATGCGCTGTTTTCTCCTTTCCATGACCATTTTCCAAATCTGGAGAAACCCCAGGCTTTGTGGGGGCAAATAAGGCACACTGATTCAAGGGTTGCAAATATGCACAATTTATTATCATTGCAGAATTTGGAAATTTTAAAGTTTTTGATAATTTAAATACTCTCCCCATCCCTACATACTTGTCCCCAACCTTTCCAGTAAAGGTATCACCACCCCTACAACCATCCCATAATGACACCTCTCATCACTCAGTTCCCACAAGACACCCCCATCCATTCTCCACCCCCAACCCACCCCCAAGCGTCCTTTCCAGCCTGTTAAGTCATCCATCCTCTCTCCTGATTCCTGGAATATTCACAGTCCTCCTCTTTTTAGCTAGCTACTCACCTCTGATTTACTTTCAGTCCCTTCTGTCCATATAGACATAAATTGTAATGTGCATTTCTATTATTTACCCTTCCCCATCCTTTCTCTTTCTTTACACTTTTCACATGGGCAGATCAATCTTGTAAAGATCCCCACAACTTCATTATTTGCATTTACCCCACAGATGCCTTGTTTCAATCATGCATTTTTATGAAAGGTCTACATGATAATGACTTACTATTACCATATATTTCAACTGTCCTGGTTTGGAACACATATTCTCAACTAGTCCTCTGTCATTTCAGTTTTTCAGATTCTTTTATAATATCCCATTTTATTTCTCCTCCTCGTTTCCCTTTTCACCCTCAGAGTATTTTAATTGCTGCAAACTAAGGTCAAAGTGGAACCCCCTGTGCGCAGTGGGTTAAACCACTGAGCTGCTGAACTTGCTGACTGAAAGGTCGCTGGTTCAAATCTGGGGAGTGGGGTGAGCTCCTGCTGTTAGCCCCAGCTTCTGCCAACCTAGCAGTTCGAAAACATGCAAATGTGAGTAGATCAATAGGTACCACTCCGATAGGAAGGCAACAACACTCCAAGCAGTCATGCTGGCCACATGACCTTGGAGGTATCTACAGACAATGCCAGCTCTCCAGCTTAGAAATTGAGATGAGCACCAACCCCCAGAGTCAGACACGACTGGACTGAATGTCAGGGAAAAACCTTTACCTTTTCAAAGCACAAACTAGCATTCACCCAGGGAACTTAGTAGAGCCAGAATCCTGTTCTTCCCACTAAGTTCACTTGCTTTCTTACTTACTAAGAACTTGCTTACTAAGTTCAGTCAAAGGCAAAATTACTGCAGCTTCTCCTACCATGTCTATTCTCTCATTAATAACTTTTGCCAACTTCACCACCATATGATGTTGCTTAGCCACATGTTTCTTGATGTTCACCTATGAAATGTTGGAAGGTACATGTTATTGGTCACCCCCTACTAGAGTAGAACCAGTGAATCTAGGGTGTTTATCTTTGTATCGGCTTTCCCTTCAAATAGAGGATTCAATAGATCTACTCTTGTTGGAACTAACTGCAAAGATCTGTATTTATGTCTACTTTTTGTAACATTTCTGGCTTTTCCCACCTCTTTCCCAAAGGCAGAACACACACACAGAAGGAAAGGCAAGAAGAGCTGCCCAACGTCTTCAAACTCTAGTGACTGGAACTCTAAGTCATTTGAGGAAAGGAGGAATGCCTCAGATAAGAGTCATTGTCCCTTAAGCCAAGGATTCTCACAGTGGATAGCAGGTCTCCTAGGGGATGCACAGACAGATGCCACATGCAGTGTGACAACTGAAAACAGGGCCAGTATAGCCCACTCTGTCACTTCAGTGTCAAAAGCCATGTGATTTGCCACCTTTCAGTTGTGACAGTGCTGGAGTCACTGAAGCAACCTTTTAGAGTTCACGGGATAAATGCTGTCAGCTCTTTGCTCTCAGGCAGTTCTTTCTATTACGCCAGCCACAATATTTCTTAACATGGCATACCAACATGATAGATGCAGTGAAGGCAACTAAGCCTTGGTGGACTTGGGAAAGTCATATCTACAGGGATAAGAAACCAGCAGTCTCGAGGGGGAGGCTCTGGATTGAAGGGTTTGGTTTAATTTCACATTTGTCAGAAGTGGCAGCTGCTTGCTTACTCTCTGGTCCTCATAGCTATTTCAGGTGGCTAGAAACAAGTATATACTACAGCACCTAGTTCACAGGACACAAGAAGGAAGTGGAGTTCCAGTTCTTTAACCAAATTCTTTCCAGACTGCAGCTATTGGTGCCTCTGCCCACAAGCAAACGGCAATGTTGTCACTGTCCTGTCAAAATCATGTTTGCTTTGTTTACACCAACTCAAAAGTGAAAACACAGAGGACAGGTCTATCTGTGGATGTTTGCTTTGAAAATCAAAAGGTACTACTAAAAAAAGTCTTCCTTCCATAAACTATGCCTTAAATCAGTGGTTCTCAACCTGTGGGTCCCCAGGTGTTTTGGCCTACAACTCCCAGCCAGTTTACCAGCTGTTTGTATTTCTGGGAGTTGAAGGCCAAAACATCTGGGGATCCACAGGTTGAGAACCACTGTCTTAAATTATTTTTTTTCCATGTCAGGAGTGACTTGAGAAACTGCAAGTCGCTTCTGGTGCGAGAGAATTTGCCGCCTGCAAGCACGTTGCCCAGAGGACGCTTGGATGTTTTGTTTTACCATCCTTGTGGGAGGCTTCTCTCATGTCCCTACATGGGGACCTGGAGCTGACAGAGGGAGCTCAACTTGCTCTCCTCAGATTTGAACTGTCACATTTTTGTGTGTGTGTGAGGAGCGACTTGAGAAACTGCAAGTCATTTCTGGTGTGAGAGAATTGGCTGTCTGCAAGAACGTTGCCCAGGGGATGCCTGAATGTTTTACCATCCTGTGAGAGGCTTCTCTCATGTCCCCACATGGGGAGCAGGAGCTGACAGTGGGAGCTCAACCCACTCTACCCGGATGCGAACTGCTGACCTGGTCATCAGTCCTGCCGGCACAAGAGTTTAACCCATTGCACCATGGGGGACTCCTATGCCTAAAATGAAGAATTGGGAACTTTGAATCTCCATGTCTTCTGGAATACAACTCCCACAATCCTTTGTCGTTGGTTGTGCTGTCTAGGGCTTCATCTTCTAGGTCCGAATCATCTGGAGAGCTAAAGTTTTCTCACCCTTGCTGTAAACCAAATATATGCATGCAACATTCACAGGTTGCAAGTAGAAACTACCAGTTGAGGTATCTGTCGTTTTGTATGTTTGTTTGTTTCCTTACCTACCTACAGTTGTTCTTCTCCTCGGGTGGAGTAAGAGAAGGTGCAAGACCTTAAATCACTCCTTGTCTTAGAAGGGAGATGGACCTCGTAATCAATCTTTATATCCAGGGGCTCCAGCTTCATAACTAAAGCTGCAACTATTGTAAGTTCGACACAAACCAGCAACATGCTGGTTGTGGCCTGATGAATATTCTCTACAGAAATCAATGCTGGAAGGGCTTGGTTGGTCATCAAGTCTAATCCCCATCCCACCCACCCCTTGCTGGAAGGCAAGTTCATGCATATATCTGCCCCCTTCCCCAAATTAACCCCTGCAATCCCCCACACCAATGCTCTTTTTCTCCTAACTCTGGCCACAGTGTACTGCAAGCAGAGAGCGGGGATGGACAAGATTCAATACCTCTAGGTTTCCAAAAAAAATATCACTCAATTTGACTCTTTAAGCTCTGAATATCCCCAAGATCATTTTAATACAATCCATTCATGTTCATAGGGTTCTTTTGGCACAATTGATCAGCGGCTAGTCCAACCTCTGGAAATCCTCGTCATTTCAACTGTACCCTAATAACCTTCATTAACCACACAACATAAACCACTAGGGGACTAGGATGGTCGGGACTAACTAGTTCCAAAAAAGTCAACCCATCTCCATCAATGCTATGGATGAACCATGGATGCTTTTCCAAGTATCCATTAGCCAGGCCAATGCGGAAGGCATTGTTTACCATTGGGTGCCCATTGCTTGGCTGCTACAGGCTGGTGATGTGACCAACTTTCCCATGTATCTGTTAACAGATGCTGACCAATGTATATCACTTTTGGAAAAAATGATATGTTGAGATCATCTCATTGCAGCTTCAGATAAAGCATTCCCATCCAAGCAAACCTCACCACTCACTTTGTTGGTTGCAATCATCTCTCAGTTACTCCAGGTTAGTGGATGTGATTTGGTTGTTCGGTCTTCCCAGTGCAATTCTGTCCCAAGGTTCAATTCAATGGACTTTTCTTTATATACATATATATGTATATATATACATCTAATGCTGGTTAATTGGGGAGGGTTCCCAGCCCCATTCAGTCCTGTTTGGCACAAAAGGGATTTAAATTGGCAGCCATGTTCCACATTCCAGGATTACAGCTGATGAGATTCAGGGAGATGCAAAGGGCTCACAAGAAGTCAATGGCAGGTCCTTAGAGGCTCCATTCCCCGACCCTGACCCTCTCAGTTTGGCACCGAGGGCCCTTAGATGTGACATATCAGAGAAAGGAAAGAAAGCTGGGAGAAGGAGAGGGGTTATACATTCAAAAGCCAGTACTGGGTGAGGACCCCCCTGTAAAATTGAGGAGATGTTTCCCTCATCAGTTGGTGGCCCCAAATAGGTTCATACAAAAGGTTCCACCCCACCGTTCCCAAGTGGGAACGTAGGAGGAAGGGCAAAGACAGGGAAGGAAAAAGTCCATCGGGAATCAAGGTCTAGATAGCAACAATGGCTGCCATACCATGAACACAAATGTACGCACACACAAACGCATGTGTCTGTCCATTCACCACAGAAATCGGTGTGGCATCTTGGCACCGGTATGTCAACCGGTTGATTGGGCAGCATCCCTGAACACTGAGGCGACAGGCAGCGGGGTTGTCCACTTTCGACTTCGTCTCAGTTCTCTATTGGGTCTGCAAGGAAAAAAGAGAAAAGATGTTGCGTTCAATTGAATGATATGTTCAACTTTGGGGCTTTGTTACATATTATTTATATACCCATTGCTTGAAAACATATTGAGGATTCAACTCTGCATGATGGTTAAAGCATCTCCCCATTTAAGATTCCAATTATTGTATTTCTTCAATTGGAAGATGCTATCCCAAATTCAAGATCAATGCCCACCAAACCCTTCCGGTATTTTCTGTTGGTTGTGGGAGTTCTGTGTGCCAAGTTTGGTTCAATTCTAATGTTGGTGGAGTTCGGAATAATAATAATAATAATAATAATAATAATAATACTTTATTTGTACCCCGCTACCATCTCCCCAAGGGACTCGGTGCGGCTTACATGAGGCCGAGCCTACAATACAACAATAAAAACAATAGCAACAGTAATACAAACAATAAATAAAACTCATAAACAGAAAATAGCAATAAACATTAACAATAACTCTTTGTAGGTGAACTATAAATCTGAGCAACTACAACTCCCAAATGACAAAATCAATTCCCCCCGCAACCCCACCAGTATTCAGATTTGGGAATATTGGGTATTTGTGCCAAATTTGGTCCAGTGAATGAACATACATGTTGCAAATCAGATATTTACATTACAATTGATAACAGTAGCAAAATTATAATTATGAAGTAGTAAAAAAAATAATTGTATGGTTTGGTTCACCACAACATGTGGAACTGTATTAAGGGGTCACGGCATTAGGAAGGTTGAGAAACAATGAAATACAGTATTATTAGTTTTTTGGATAGCTCTGAATAGTATCAACTGGAGGAAGGAGAAACCTTATCATTACAATGACAGGAGGTACAGAAATGTTGCGTGAGAGGGGCTTACTTTTTTCTGCAAAAATCTTGAAGGAATCTTCCTTTCTCTGAAACTATTTTTGGCTGAGCTCTCGATGCTGAGATGCCAGAAGGAAGATAATGCTTAGACTTTCCATTATAATGGAAGTCATACCTCAAACTTGGCATAGTGCCTGACAAAGCTGACGAGAGGTATCTGACTAGTCAGAATCTATGTATGTAGCCAGAGGTTCATGAGACTACCTGCTCTCTCCAGGGTGAGAGACACTGCGGGCAGACAATCTAGCTGGGAACAAGCCAGTTATGGGAGTCAGAACGACAATACTTCACAAACAAATATTCAATATATCAGCCAGTAAGCCAACCCTTTAAATCAAGAAATAGCTTCCTAAGATCTATAGAGATACTCGCAGGAACGCCTCAGCAAGTGAGAGTCCAAAAGTGGCAGGCGAAAACACCTCAATCAGTGGCTGATACCAGATGAAAGACTCCCTCCTGCGCACACAGCAGACTGGGCAACTTGGAAGGAGCTGAACAGACTCTGCTCTGGCACCAAGAGGTGCAGAGCTAACCTTAAAAAATGGGGCTACAAAGTGGAGTTCACGACATGTGAGTATGGAGAAGAGCAAACCACAGACCACCTACTATAATGCAACATGAGCCCTGCCCATGCACATTGGAGGACCTTCTCACAGTGACACCAAAGGCTCTCCAAGTGGCCAGCTTCTGATCAAAGAAAATCTAGCATAATGCTAAGTTTTTAACTTTGTGTTTTTAAATATATTATAACTGTACCCCCAATTCACTTCTGCCTCTGTGTGTGTGTGTGTGTGTCTACACACACACACACACACACACACACACACAAATATATATATTTGTTGTAGGTTTTTCGGGCTATATGGCCATGTTCTAGAAGCATTCTCTCCTGACATTTTGCTTGCATCTATGGCAAGCATTCTCAGAGGTTGTGATGTCTGAGGATGCTTGCCATAGATGCAGGTGAAACATCAGGAGAGAATGCTTCTAGAACATGGCCATATAGCTTGAAAAACTTACAACAACCCAGTGATTCCAGCCATGAAAGCCTTCAACAATACATATATAGAGTTTTTCCTAGTTCCAACTTTTTCCTAGTTCCAACAGACCTCACTACCTCTGAGGATGCTTGCCATAGATGCAGGCGAAACGTCAGGAGAGAATGCCTCTAGACCATGGCCATATAGCCCGAAAAAACCTACAACAACCCATATATAGAGTTGCTTTAGCTTTTACTAATTTTTGATTATACGCATTCATATTCTGACTATTTCTCAGTATTGGGACTCAAGATTGTTTGCAGAATGATCAAACCAGAACAAATTAAAAGCATTCAAAACCATCCATAAATCAGACACAATTGTTATTTTAAAATGCAGATCTTCCTGGCATAGTGAATAAAAAGCCCAAAGCAAAAACTCTCTAGCTTACAGGTCAAGGGAGCTAGAGGAGGCATACTGAACAAGTCAAAGCACTCCCTACGTTCAACTGAAATAAGCTTAGGACAATGTTGGAAAGTGCCAAAGAGTGCGGATTTCAGCCCAATGTAAACACAAACTCCATTGTCCAGAGGAAGGCATTTCCTCTCAGCAATGGAAGGGAAAGATTAACTTAAGAGCCCTTTCAAACAAGAAAAAAAGTCTCAGCTTTTGTTCCTATACAATCTAATTTTAGTTCAGAGATCTACATGATGTTTCTTCATACCAAAGTATTTTCTGGGAACTTCAGCTTTACCAAAGACTGTTTATTCCTTCTTTCCAGGTCAGTGTACATTAATATAGTGTTTTCCAAAATGAAATGTATCTCTGCTTGGCTGTGATTATTCAAAAAGAAATGAAGATGGTTGCTGCCAGAAAACACAGGCTGAATCCACATTAGAGCTACTGTATATACTCGAGTATAAGCCGACCCGAGTATAAGCCGAGGCACCAAATTTTACCCCAAAAAAACTGGGAAAAGTATTGACTACTGGTATGTTTCAAAATAAAAATAGATATCAATAAAATTACACCAAGGCATCAGTAGGTTAAATGTTTTTGAATATTTACATAAAACTGTAATTTAAGATAACTGTCCAGCTCTGATTAAACCATAATTCTAACCTTATTCTAACATTATTCTAATGTGTCCTTCCAATAATAATAAAGAAAGTAAAATAATAAATGTAATAACAATAATAATAGAGTAAAATAATGGGAATGTAATAATAACTAATAATGGAGTAAAGTAATAAAGGTAATAATACTAATAGAATAAAATAATAAAGGTAATAATACTAATAGAATAAAATAATAAATATAATAATAATAAGAGAGTAAAATAATAAAAGTAATAATAGAGTAAAATAATAAATGTAATAAAATAATAATAGAGTAAAATAATGTAAATGTAATAATAATAATAATAATAATAATAATAGTAAAATAAATGCAACACAAATACCAGTAATAATAATAACAGAGGAAAATGATAAATAATTTTGACTCAAGTATAAGCTGAAGGGGGCTTTTACAGCTTAAAAAAAGGCTGAAAAACTCAGCTTATACTCCTCGAGTGTATATGGTATATCCCAATTCTAGGGCTCAGCATCCTATCCAAGCTTAACCCCATAAAAAAGCAGTTTTAAGCCTAACTCTGATTGCATATTCAAATAACTGAAGGCTTCTTAAACAGAGGCATTGGATAGTCGAAAATGCAGAAATCAGTACATATACATAGATTGAACTAACATTAAAGCCAATACTATACTTGCTAGACATGGATACATAGAGACATGGTCCTTTGGGACCCTTCCTGCCATCAATTCTGTCCAGATATTATACATACATAACTGAATATTAGTTCTGAAAGGGCTGTGTCTATTTCAGAAGCCCCCTAATTTTCAGCTATTTGGATATGTAGCTATCCACATACACATACTGAACATTAAAATGGTGATACCATGCTTTCCAGACCTAGGCTTTCACTTCAAAAAGGGTTGTGTGTTCAAACAGGAGTGAGATCGAAGTAAGTACATATTGTTTTGCAACTATGGATTGCAAACACGGTTATTTTTTCCAGGTCACAGATTTAACAGAGCTCAGACGAAGGGAAAGGAATTTTTAAAACCAAAATAAAAGGATCCTAATGTTTAACAAGTGTAATCTTGCTGAAGCACTTTAGCACTTCGACTATGACTCCTGAATAGTGATAATAAAAACGCTCAGTGGGAATTGGTGAAAATCGATTTCTAAAATGTTGCATGAGTTTAGATACAGCATTTGATCTCCAGGAAAGGAAGGCTATAAGGGAGGGAGGGAGAGAGGGAGGGAAGGAGGGAGAACAGAAACATTTTCATGAGAAACTAAATGGAAACCCTTGAAAGTACGCAGGTTATGCAGCAGACCTTGGAAATAAATAGCTCCAGGTCCCACCTTGACCATTAGGTAGGCCATGCCTGCACTTAACCCACTCCCCAAGCCTAGTCTACTTTGTCGTACCAGCCCAGCCCTCTCATAGTTGTAGAATCTTGAAATCTTGGCCATTGGAAGCTGAGCTGCCTGATGCAATTAGTACTGAACTGGCTTTTTAATTTTAAATACGTACAACTGTTATATAGTACTATGTTTATATTTTTTATAATGACTTATTGTATATTTTTATGTTGGTAATTGCAATGCTTTACCATGCTGGAAACCGCCCTGAGTCACCTCGGAGAGAGAGAGCGGTATACAAATAAAGATTTATCATCATCATCATCATCATCATCATCATCATTATTGCAGGAGTCCCCAGTGGCGCAGTGGATTAAATCCTTTTGTCAGCAGGACTGAAGACTGACAGGTCAGAGGTTCAAATCCGGGGAGAGTGCGGATGAGCTCCCTCTGTCAGCTCCAGCTCCCATGAGGGGACATGAGAGAAGCCTCCCACAAGGATGGTAAAACATCAAAAAATCCAGGCATCCCCTGGGCAACGTCCTTGCAGACGGCCAATTCTCTCGCACCAGAAGCGACTTGCAGTTTCTCAAGTTGCTTCTGACATGAAAAAAAAATATTATTATTTATAATCCTGAATCCCTTTCTTTTCTTGGTGCATTGAGAACCTTATTCTGTGGAAAGTGCACAAGAGTAGTGGTTCTCAAACATTGATCCTCCAAGTGTTTTGAGCTTTCCAGAAGCCCCAGGCAGCTTGGTCAATCTCAGGGTGATCATAGATTGAGAGGCATAATAATAATAATAATAATAATAATAATAATAATAATAATAATCCTTTATTTGTACCTTGCTACCATCTCCCGAAGGACTTGGTGCGGCTTACACGAGGCCGAGCCCAAACAACAATAATACAGCAAAATAAAACAAAACAGCAATAACATTAACAACATGCAGTGACGCAGTGACGCAGTTAGAAACAATGGCAGGGTCAAATGTAATAATTAAAATTAAAATTAAAAAGTGCTGGGCATGACAGGTGGGGTGTTTGGAGGAGGGTGGGCATGCAGATATCCTAAATCTCTGATAAAGTGCGTTGGGACATAATGCTAGGAGTTTCTTTATTCTGGAAAGGCACGCTGGAACATCCATGTTTTCAAGCTCCTCCTAAAGATTGCTAGCGATGGGGCCTGCCTGATGTCCTTAGGGAGAGAGTTCCAGAGTCGAGGGGCCACTACCGAGAAAGCCTATCCCTCGTCCCCACCAATTGCGCTTGCGATGGCGGTGGGATCGTAAGCAGGGTCTCTCCGGATGAACAAAGAGATTGTGTGGGTTCGTACACAGAAATGCAGTCATGGAGGTAGGCGGGTCCTAAACCATTTAGGGCTTTGTAGGTAAGCACCTGCACCTTGAATTGGGACCGAAGAATGAATGGCAGCCAGTGTAGCTCCTTAAACAGGCATTGCACTATAGCACAAAAGTGGAGAATCCTAAGCACCTGACCAAACTACAACCAGGATTCTTTAGGGTGGAAACGCCGACACAACCCAACAAACATCCCACTGTCTTAATAAAACCTACATGCTGCCCACTTACTGGCTGTAGGTCCTAGTTCAGTGTCACAAGAGGGAGAAAGATGTGGTTCCAGAGCAGGAGAGACGGTGAAGCGGGAGAACCTCAGGGCATCGACAAGGCCAGACTCAGCCCTCTTGGCTGAGGGCAGCAAGGCAGGGGCCAGCGGAACTGGCGAAGACATGGCTGGGAGGGAGGGCTTGACTGTGCTGGGGTCTGACACCATGGAGACATACGACGGATTCTGAGCCATCAGGGGGAAATCGTCATCCCATTCAAAACTGCCACCTGCATGAAAAAGAAGCATAATAAATAATCACACTTTATTTATATTCCACCCTATCTCCCTAAGGAGACTCAGGACGGATCACAGTATACATACACGGTAAACATTTAATGCCGTTTTTGGATGGGACAAAGACAGACAGAAAAGAAAGGAGGCATGTTGTGTTGTGTTGACATCCAGCTTTTTAGGTGCCTTTGGATGTTGTGCTCGAATCCAGCCACAGGGGAGTGCTGTTGCTCCATCTTCTATGAAAAAGAGCTATCAGGACTTCCTCCTTCTTTTTGGTTGCCAGCATTTTCTGATCTTTTTCTTTATGATGTCATAAAATACCTCCCCCGCATTAGCTGTACCTAATTTCTATAATTATAGATGTAAGCTGTTTTCAAGCTGCTTAGGTAAACAGTGAGCTGGGCTCACAGTCAGGCCGGGGTTTCGAACTTGCAATCTTTCATTGGTAGATCTTAACATTGCTGGTGATTTACCAGCTGTGCTAAAGCCTGGCGTAGGAAGGGGGAAGGACAGCTAGACTGAAAGCCAATGTTATGATATGGTTACAACATGCATTGAGAAACAGGTCAAGCTAGGCTCAAATCTGTACTGGAAACTCTGACTTTTAAAAAAGTCCAAGTTTGTGTAAAGTCATCAGTTATCTGTTAAATTCACTAGGTATCCCTGGAACAATCATTATCTCATTCTGCTTAGCCTATGCAACAAGATTGCTATGAGGACAAAGGAGAGGGTTGATAGAGAGAAACCATCGTATATGGTGCATAAAGCATCTGAGGCCCCATCTATATAAATAAAAATGTAATTTTCATTTGTGGAATTAACATAACTCAAAAAACCACTGGACATTGACACCAAATTTGGACACAATACACCTATCAGGCCAAGGAGTGACCACCACTCATGAAAACACTGAAAAACACAGCAGAAGAGACTTAAAAAGCCAAAAAATAAAAAAAATACATTACAACGCATGTGCAAAACACACTCATATATACAAACACACACATATACACATATACACAAATATATACACACACAAAACACATATACACAGAGTGGACCACAGCAATGCGTAGCAGGGGATGGCTAGTGTGTGTGTGTGTGTGTGTGTGTATACACACACACACATACACACACACACATATAGTTAGTTAGTTAGTTAGTGTATTTATATCCCACTCTTCTCAACCCGAAGGGAACTCCGGGCGGCCTTATAATCGGCAGCAATTTGATGCCATAACAAACAAAATAATAAACATATACATTAAAACAAAAAAATTAAAAGCAATATAAACATTAAAACAAATAATTAAAATCACACAATTTGAGGACATACTCAAAAGCCGTTCTGGTCATTATTGCACATAATTCCACTTCACTTATTTCACTGCACTATTGTCCAAAGGCTTGGTCCCAGAGCCAAGTTTTTACTTTCTTTCTGACGGTCAGGAGAGAGGGGGCTGACCTGATTTCGCTGGGGAATTCCATAGCCGAGGGGACACCACTGAGAACGCCCTGTCCCTCATCCCCACCAACTGCATCTGTGAAGGAGGTGGGATCGAGAGCATGGCCTCCCCAGATGATCTTAATCTCCAAGATGGTTCATAGAGAGAGATACATTCGGACAGATAAGCTGGGCCAGAACTGTTTAGGCCTTTATAGGCTAAAGCCAGCACTTTGTGCCCGATAGCAGATGGCAGCCAGTGGGGCTGACATAACAGGAGGTTGTGAGGAATCTGGCTGCCGCTCGTTGGACCATCTGAAGCTTGTGAACAGTCTTCAAAGGTAACTCCACGTAGAGTGCATTGTAGTAGCCTATTTGGGATGTAATAAGAGCATGGATCACCATGGCCAAGTCTGGCTTCTCAAGGTATGGCCGCAACTGGCGCACACTGACCATTTAAAGCAGTTTGAATCCAGAATTAAAGAAAGGGATTTCACTGTATAGATGACTACATAGGAAAACCTGGAATGATTTTGAGGTCCAGGTGGTAATGGCACAAGCGACACAGCAGTGATCCACATTGAAGACTTTTTGTGTGTGCGTGCTTCTGTAGGAATTCGTTGTCTGCCTGCTACCATCTGGAGCTAGCTTCAAACGGCATTAAATGGTCAGTGCAGATGAGCCTCAGAGGGCCTTTCCACACAGCCCTACATCCCAGAATACAAAGACAAGAAATCCCACATTATCTGAGTGTGGACTCAGAAAACCCAGTTCAAAGCAGATATTGTGAGATTTTGTGCCTTGATATTCTGGGATATAGGGCTGTGTGGTAGGGCCCAGAGAAGCAGGAGGATTAGTTAATCTGAACCATTATTGCAGATGGAAAGATCAAGCTATTACTGAGAAAATACTTCAAGCTAGAAGTGGAAAAAATGCATCAAGAGACTTTTGGCTGAGTGTTTTTCGCTAGTTTGCATGGACCACCAACAGACCCACACAAAAGTATCAAATCCAGTTTCAAATATGGGAAACATTCTCCATGTGTTTCTTTCCATACTCCCCAGAATCATGGCAGCCTGCATTTGGGTCGCTGTGAATTTTCAGGGTTGTATGGCCATATTCCAGAAGCATTCTCTCCTGACATTTTGCCTACATCTATGGCAGGCATCCTTGGAGGTTAAGGGGTCCCCTCAACCTCTGAAGATGCCTGCCATAGGTGTCTGCAAAACGCCAGGAGAGAAAAAAACTCACAGCAACTGATTCCTGCCATGAAAGCCTTCGACAACAGCTTGCATTTGCTCCTAATTACCAGTGTAAACCAGGAGACTTCCTATTCTTAATTTTGGAATACCAATACTGTCGGTTTTCTGGAGCTTGTGGTGTCTTCCATCCAATTGGCAGCTTCATACACAGACATGCAGCATTAGGAATGCTGTGCCTTTAAATCTATTTTCACTTCTTACCGCAATGTGTTTTTAAATTGATCCAGTTGTTTTACGAACCTCTCTCATGCAACTGTTTTAATGATTTAATGAAATACATTGCATTTCTTTCTGTATAATTTTAATGACTTCTCAGAGTCTATTTATAGTTTGGGTGTCCAAAAGGTATATTAATGGAAGGAAATCAAAATCAGATGTGGGATCTCGCTCTCTCTTGTTCTGTGCATGTGTGTGTTTTACCACTACAGCACAAAGCAGGCCTGGATCCATTTTTAATAACAAGGGAGAATCTGTGCCACCATCTGCTTTATCAAATGTGACAATTTATAAACAACAAAAACAATGAAGAGTTTATATACTAAAAATAAATTATTTCAGAGGATGAAATTGCACCCAACATGCAATATTTCCCAAAGTTCCGATAGCTGGAATATCTTCCTCCCCAAATACAAACCAGAAGGCACGCTTCATTCATGCCTGTAATTATAGCAAGTTTACATTTAAAAATACGAAAATAGTAACAGTCCATTGTCTGCATGAATCACGAATCTGGTAAGATTCTCTCAATGAAGAAAGCAAATTCAATGCAGTAATGCATGTAGAGATGCAAAGGGGAGTCTTATCTGAGCATGGACAGTGATTACGAGATCCCATCATTCTTAAATCAATTCAAAAAGAGTGCTCCTTCCTTGGTGAGGCTTACTTACTGTTTACTTCCTAGGCTTGAATGAAGTTGCTACCCTAACAAGCACAAAGCTTTTGTCACACCCAGGATAGACTACTGCAATGCACTCTACGTGGGGTTGCCTTTGAAGACTGTTCAGAAGCTCCAAATAGTCCGAGAGGCAGCCAGGTTAATAACTGGGGTGGCATACAAGAAGCATACAATTCCCATGTTACGCCAGCTCCACTAGCTGTCAGTTTGCTACCGAGCACAATTCAAAGTGCTGGCTTTGGCCTATAAAGTCCTAAATGGCCCCGAATCCATCTTCTGGGAGGCACTGCCCTCGGTCCGGCCACCGTCACATGCGCGATTGGTGGGGACGAGAGAGAGGGCCTCTTCAGTGATTGCCCATTGGCAATGGAACTTCCTCCCTGGCGAGATCATATCAGCCCCCTCCCTCTTGTCCTTCAGAAAGATTGGAAAAACTTGGCTGTGGGACCAAGTCTTTGGAACAGTGCAATAAGGTAAGAATAGGAATCCTACCTTGCAGACCAGATTCAGTATGGCTGTTTTGAGATGGTTTTAACAATTGATTTTAAAGTGGATACAACTGATTTTAATGTTTGTGTATATTTATTCTTTTATTGTATATGCATTGAATGTTTGCCATATATATATTGTGCTCTGCCCTGAGTCCCCTTTAGAGTGAGAAGGGATTGTTTATGTTCTGGCATGGAATGTTTCCCATATGTATGTTGTGCTCCGCCCTGAGTCCCCTTTGGGGTGAGAAGGGATTGTTTGTTTATGTACCGGCATTGAATTTTTGCTGTATATATGTTGTGCTCTGCCCCGAGTCCCCTTCAGGGTGAGAAGGGATTGTTTGTTTATGTTCAGGCATTGAATGTTTGCCGTATATATATTGTACTCTGCCCTGAATCCCCTTCAGGGTGAGAGGGGATTGTTTGTTTATGTTCCAGCATTGAATGTTTGCTGTCCCCTTCGGGATGAGAAGGTATTGCTTGTTTATGTTCCGGCATTGAATGGTTGCCGTATATATGTTGTGCTCTGCCCTGAGTCCCCTTTAGGGTGAGAAGGCATTGTTTATGTTCCGGCATTGAATGTTTGCTGCATATATGTTGTACTCTGCCCTGAATCCCCTTCAGGGTGAGAGGGGATTGTTTGTTTATGTTCCAGCATTGAATGTTTGCTGTTCCCTTCGGGATGAGAAGGTATTGCTTGTTTATGTTCCAGCATTGAATGGTTGCCGTATATATGTTGTGCTCTGCCCTGAGTCCCCTTTAGGGTGAGAAGGGATTGTTTGTTTATGTTCTGGCATGGAATGTTTGCCATATGTATGTTGTGCTCCACCCTGAGTCCCCTTCGGGGTTTGAAGGGAATAATATAAATGCTTTAAATAAATATATAAAGCCATTGATTTGTAGAAGTCTTGACTTTGCAACTTATTCAGCAGCTCTGCTCTATCTGAGATTATGAAGGTCTGAACCTTGGTTTGAGCAAATAATCAGTAGCAGAATGATCTTTCTGACCTTGACTGCTGCCTCAGATCATAACTCCTGCCTTATCTTGACATTGTGTCTGCTCCTGATTCCTCACACATTGTTTTTGCTGCAGCACTCAGTTTCCCGAGACTGGTTGTAATGCTCCTGCCCTTGGATCTTCTTATCTCCATTTGCTTATTTTTGAACTTGATCTTTTACTAATCAAAGACTTTACTGCTATTCCTGATCTTGGCCCTTTTTGGAACTCAGCTTTGCCTTTTGTAGGGACTACATCCTTCTCTCTGTGCCAACTCATCCCCAGTCCGACAACCGGTTTTCCCTGAATCCCAGAATGTGATGACTACTGTGGTATAACAATCTGTGCAACCTGGTGGTGCAATGGGTTAAAACCTTGTGCTGGCAGGACTGAGGACCGACAGGTCGCAGGTTCAAATCCGGTGAGAGTGTGGATGAGCTCCCTCTGTCAGCTCTGGCTTCCCATGTGGGGACATGAGAGAAGCCTCCCACAAGTATAGTAAAATGCCAAAACATCCGGGCATCCCCTGGGCAATGTCCTTGCAGACAGACATTCTTCCACACCAGAAGTGACTTGCAGTTTCTCAAGTCACTCCTGACACACACATAAAAATAACATTGAAAAATAAACAATCACACACACAACTTCCTCTCTGCTGGACTGGCCCATTCCCCACACAGGTCTCCCAAGACGAGCCGGGACAGAAGCCTGACTTTTGCCCAATACTCACTGAAGCCATCGGCTGGGGGAAAGGGATCAAGTCCTGGTTCTAACGTTGAGCCAGGAGAAGGGGTATCACCATCCGGTGCTCCTTGTGAACTCAGCTCATTGGTTGGTGTCTCCTACAGACAGAAATGTACAAAAATGGAATGAAGAATCCAACACCCTCTTCTTCTTGCACTTTTGATTTGAACCTCTTCCTTTCCATGCACACAGTCTTATACTCTTACCTCGCTGCGTGTGATGGTGATGACTGACACCTGTGTTTAATATCTATCAATCATTTCTACTGTATTTAATACCACAGAATGGTCACGGATTCCTTAAAACAGTGGTCTCAACCTTCCTAATGCCACAACTCCTCAATACAGTTCCTCATGTTGTGGTGACCCCTAACCATACAATTATTTTCGTGCTACTTCATAACTGTCATTTCGCTACTGTTACGAATCATAATGTAAATATCTGATATGCAGGATGTATTTTCATTCATTGGACCAAATTTGGAACAAATACCCTATACACCTAAATTTGAATACTGGTGGGGTTGGGGGGATTGATTTTGTCATTTGAGAGTTGTAGTTGCTGGGATTTATAGTTCACCTACAATCAAAGAGCATTTGGAACTCCATCAATGATGGAATTGAACCAAACTTGACACAAAGAACTCCCATGACTAACAGAAAATACTTGAAGGGTTTGGTGGGCATTGGCCTTGAGTTTTGAAGTTATAGTACACAGAGAGCACTATGAGAGCACTACACTTTGAAGTTGTAGTACACAGAGAGCACTCAAATAATGATGGATCTGGAACAAATTTGGCACAAATACTCAATATGCCCCAATGTGAACACTGGTGGACTTTGGGGAAAATAGACCTTGACATTTGAGAGTTGTAATTGCTGGGATTTATAGTTCACCTACAATCAAAGAGCATTCTGAACCCCACCAACGATAGAATTGGGCCAAACTTCCCCCACAGAACCCCCATGACCAACAGAAAATACTGTGTTGTCTGATGATCTTTGGTGAACCCTCTGACACCCCCTCGCAATCCCCCCCCCCAGGGGTCCTGAACCCCAGGTTGAGAAATACTGCCTTAAAACATCTCTAGGAGTAAACGGATACCCATAGAAGTCAATCAATAATAATCAATAATGAAGGGAAGTGATTAAGATCTGGAGGCTGTGTGGGCAAGTGGAAAAGCCAGGAAGCCAGTGCAGAAGGCTGGGGGGGGGGGGGATGCAACCCAAATATGCAAAGGGACATGCAAAGAAATGGCACCGGGATAGCTGAAAGAAAAGCAGGATAGCTAGCTGGATTAGGGTCCATCCACACAACATAATTATAGCACTGTGATTCCACTTTCAACTGCCTTGGTCATTTTATGAAATCCTAGGGTATATATGACAGTGAGTTTTTCTTGCTGAAAATTCTAAATGCTCTTCCCGAAACCGTCAATTCCAGGATTCCTTAGGATGTGTTGGGACTCAGAGCTGTTAGGCACAAAAAATTACCCTCACCTGGGGTGATTCCACCATAAATATAGCAGCGTTCTAGAAGCACACTTCATAACCAGCAGAAACTTACATGTGGTGAGTCAGGATTAGCTTCCATTCAACAGGATGGAACAAGATTGCAGAGACAGAACCTTAGACTCAAAATATTTATTCAAGAAAAGAAATCCATTCTAGATAGAAAAGGGTCTTGGAGTTACTAGCTTACTAAGCTAATCTTCTTAGTAAAAGGATAAAATTTCAAAAGTATCCATGCAGCTACATTTTGCCTGGAGAAAGGCAAAATGCGTCCTTACTGAAAAGGAGACAAAGGTAGAGTACATAATCACACCAGAGAATGAATCTATTTTAAATCTGGTTGCTGAAGAATTCTGGGATTTGTAGTTTAGGAAGGATACTTTAACAGCCTTACTAAACTACAAACCCCAGAATTCTGAAGAAGACAGACACCGAATTTAAAGTGGATTCATTCTCTAGTGTGATGAAGTAGAGAAAGAGGGCAATGAACAATGACCACGTGGCCAAAAGCCAGAACAATCAAAATACCTGGGATACAGGGCTGTGTGGAAGGGCCCTAAGGCTAGCTAGTCAGTGAGGACTGGAGACGTGCAGTCCAGGGATGAAACCCAACAGGATGGAACCATGGCACTTTAGATGGAATAATAGCATTGGAATTCTGTTGTGTGGATGGACCCTCAAAAGTCCTGAAAGAAGCCCCTTGTCCCACCGCAACTCATGTTACGCACCCTAAATGCTGGTCCTCCTCACCTGATCAAAGAGGTAGACAGTGACATCGTCAAAGAAGGAGACCATCTTTCGCTTGCGGTCCAGCTCAGCAGCTGCCTCTTCCGCTGAGCGCGGGGACTTGAGGAGACCACGCAAGTTGCGGGCATCGTCGCTTTCGCTCACCACAATGGGGACAGCCCTCCCTCCACTTCCAGCCAGGCCTCCTTCATCATCATCCTCAGCGTCATCTTCTTCCTCATCCTCTGCCGCCATGGCAGCTTCTCTCCCACCCAGCACGGGGCCCTCCCCCAAAGCTGCTCCTTCCCAAAATGGCCCTTTCCTTCCTCCTCCAGGTGGAGGGAAAGCCTGCAAGGCCAGAGGGGGAAGGGACAGAGACAAGCGGGACAGCTTGACTGGAGGCAAGAGCCAGAGGTCAAGAGTGAAGAGGGGCCAGGAGGCAAGAGGAGTGATCGGATTGAAGAGCCAAGGTCAGGGAAGGAGGGGTTGAGATGAAAGAGAGAAAATTATTTCACTAAGAATATGTTTCTACTATTTTTGCCCAAATATATATCCTCATCCTACAACGGGTAGTTCGCCACATATCTCCTCTGAACCCTCTTGGCTCTTATATCTCAAAGTAGTTCATTGTCCTATTCTGTATTTCTTTTAGCTCCTATTCAAACCATTCCCACGTGAAAAGACCTGGCAAAAGTGGATCAGCAAGACTTGTATTAGCTGACCTTCATCAGGAATATCAAGTCAGGATTGTACTAAATGATCAAGTTCTAGATCAGGCATCCTCAAACTACGGCCCTCCAGCTGTTTGGGCCTCCAACTCCCTAACCAACTTGTTCAATTGTCATGAATTCTGGGACTTAAAGGCCCAAACAGCTGGAGTGCCGCAGTTTGAGGATGCCTGCTCTAGATAGCTATTGTCACCAAGCCATTTCCTGAATCTATCTACAATCGCTCATGTGCACACTTAGTTGGGAGTAAGCTACACTGGGCACATGGAGGCAGTTCTAAGAACACATTGCGCTTGCAAGAATCCTCATATAGAAAGATGTTTCAATAGTAATGGATGGGGAAAGTATTTTGCCCTCACCTGCTAACATCTACAACAGTGGTTCCCAACCTTTTTTTGACCAGGGACCACTCTCCAACGTTAGTACCAAAAGGCTTACGAGTCAGTTTTTGGTCAACTTTAGATTCGATTTGGTTATCTGGGGTGCTGATTCAGAAAATTGCATTGGATAATCCACATCAGCTCTAGTTTCTGATACAGAACATATGCCATCCAGTAGTCACCATCTGCTCACCCATAGAAAACCATATTTAATAATCGAGAGCTGATGTGGTAGTTGTAATTTTTCGTGGGTAGTCAGCCTCTTCCCTCCCGACATCCCTGTTGCCGCTGCACTATAAGAGGGTTTTGCAAGAGCAGTCACTCTCCTTGCAACGGTGTAGTAACGCTGAGACCACGGACTATATTTTAGTTCTTGCGGACACTGGTGGTTGGGAACCACTGACCGAAAAGTATAAAAAATTAACAACCTGCTTGTTAATGTAGAGATCCCCACACACTTTGAAAATCAGTCTATGGTCCCTGATGCTCCCTCTATGTAGCTCACATTGTCCCAAGAAGATATCACAACAGCTTTCTGCCCCAAAAGCAGGAGGAAGTAATGCCCCCAACCCTGCAAAGCCAGTGGCCACCTCTAAAACAGACCCAACATTTTCCTTAATGCCTTTGTATGTTGGCAACGTAGAGCACACAATGATGTCTGCCTCCTACTTGGTGAGATGTAGCCAATGCTGCCTTTGTTTTATCTGGTGGGAGAATCCTAGTATTTCTTGTCCTTCTAATCTCGATGCTCTAACATAGCCATTGTACCTACTTCCTTCTGGAGGACACATTAGTAGCTTTCTGGAGTTGTGGGGATCAGGAGAATAACCTGTGGCATTGCTATAACAGGTGGGACTATGAATTTACCATTCATGGTGCTCTATGGCCTGGAGTGACTGCATCATTCAGGCCAATGGCACGTCCAGACTCCTCTTTCCCATTCAAACCCAACTCAAAATGTTTAGCTGCCTAAGGAGAAAGACAAGATCACGTTCCCCCAAGATCCACCTACAAATGGACTAACAGAGGCAGACACCTCACCCTGCCTGGGAATGGTTATACTAGCCTTCCCTCTATTGTTTTGTGAACATCCCACTCCTAACACAGATGAGACCATTACCTTTGATATCTTCCCCAGCTTGATTCCCTGAGAGTCCAGGCTCCTGCTCCTTCAGGGGCTGCTCAGTTGCTACAGAGCTGTCTTCCGGGACATCCGGGAGCTCTACCACACTGGATCCTGCTACACTTTGAATCTCTGTCTGGCTAGGCTTCTCCTTTTCTTTTCTTTCATCTTCCTCACATGCAGGCTTTATCCCCTCAAGCTCTCCATTAACCTCTTCTTGATGTTTCTCCTTATTCTCCACGTCTACCTCCTCTTCCTCCTCCACCACCTCTTCCTTCTCCTTATCTTCCATGATTTCTGGCTGCTGGGAATCAATGGCAACCTTCTTGTGGTTTTTCTTGTCCTCCTCCTCCTGCACTTCTTCCTCTTCCTCTGTCTCTTCTTGCCCCTCCTTAGGTTCTAGGGTCCACAACCGAAGGATGGCCTGGTCCTTCAAAGGGGCAACCGGACGAAGCTCTGGCACTGGTTTCTTCTGACTGCAGAGTAGGTTGCGTGTGACATTTTCATGCAGAGTAACCAACAGCTGTTCCTTGCATACCTGAACGACAAAGCCTCCATCCAGAGTTGTCTTCTCTGTGGACTTTCTCTCCTCACTCCCAACAGGAGGGGCAGGAGGAGCCAGGACCTCAAGAGGTTCTGCCTCTCCATCAGAGAAGTAGGCAGAGTCACGGTGTGGTGTTGTAGGTCCCAAACTCCTCCCTACCTCTTCCTCCAGCTCCAACCCTTCTTCACTCACAGACAAGGTAAGGTCACTAGTGGATTGAGAGATGGGTGTTGTTGGGAGTTTGCCCGAATCTTCATCTCCCTCTGTTTCCTCCTCTTCTCCAGGTGGTGCTGGTGGTGGAGGGTCCTCTTTGAAGATGAACTCAGGAGAAAAAGTGTTCTCTGTTTCGTAACCACTGTCCCCAAATTTCTGCCCAGGAGAGGAATAATGTGATGCAGGGCTGCAGACATCTGAGGAACTGGTGTTAGAAGGAATGTCCAAGGAATCTACAGAATCTAGGGTTCCTCTTTGTCGGTCTGGTGCTGCTGGGGAGAGGGTTAAGGTTACAGGGCCCGTGGAAAACCCATCAATAACATCCGGGAGGATTGCAATAGTCTCCTCGTCATTACTCTCAGCCAGAGTGGACAAGGGGGGTATCTCTACTGGAACGATCACATTGCAGCAGCCAGTCGACATGGCTGGGAAGGGTGATCCTGGTGCAACCCGGGTGCTCCCTCCGCCTCTCTGTTTTGGGTAATCTTGAAGTTCATAGGTCTTCACAACTGTGCCCATGAGTGGGTCAAAAAATTCATTGTGCGCCTCTCCTTCCCCATCACAGTCCCGAGGGGGCAGAATAGGACACTCAGAGAGGGAACCCCGCTCCACTTTCAGTGAGGAGTCATCCTCAGTGCCGTAACTGTCACGGTGAGGGCGTTGCAAAGGTGGACCATGGTTGCTCCAGCCACTCACCACATCCCCCCTAGGAATAGCACATGTGCAGCGCACCCGAGTGCAGAGTGGGCATGGCAAGAGATTGCGCCGCCCACCCCCAATGCTGCTCCCGCCACCATCTGTGCTGCTGCCAGAACTCTGGTCCTCCATCAGTGAGGGCTCCTGTTCCCATGAGGGGGAACCCTGGAACTCTGATGGGTCCCCAGCCAATGTCTCCCCTGCTCCTCGTTCTTCCATCATCTCAGCATCCCAGTTACGCTGCTGGTCCTCCAATTCACGGTATACTGTGAGCAGCGACTCAGCAAGGAATGATTCTCCTCCCGTCGTGGGAGTCTCTGTCAATGATGTCTCTTGGATCTCACTGTCAGCACGGAAGGGGTTGCTGTCCCCACCACTACTGGGCAGGAAAGGATTGCTGGTGGGCGGCTCCTGAGGGCGATAGGGGGCACCAGGGCAGTCCCAATCTGAGGGGAAGAGGGGCTGGGGCGGTGAGCCAGGGCTAGGAGCACAGACTGGCCCCTCCCCACTGCCATGGTCCTCCAGGCGGATGTAATACTCACTGCTGACCGAAGGACTGCGGGCACTGATTACGGGCACAACACTAGGGGTTTCCAGGCTGTGTCCACGCTGTGAGCCTTGTTCGTAGAAAGGATTGCTGCCCGGCACAGCTAGGCCACCATTGCTGGAGGGGTACTCAGGAGGAGCCGAGGCAGGGCCCTTCCATCTTCCCAGACGGGCCTTCTCCCACATATACTCAAAGTTCAGCCCCCCACTGCTTTCAGTCACAGTCAGGATATCATCCATGTCACTGCCATGGAACCCATCCAATAGCGGATAAGCTGAGATCTCTTCTGAGGAACGGCGGTGACGTGCTGAGGAAGACGAGGCTGCTGGTGGTGAAGAGGAGCGCTTTGGCTTCAGCGCACTCCAACGCCACTCAAAGCTCTCCTCTGCTTGAGCGTTGGAGCGCTCATTCAACAGGTAGCTCACCTGCAAGTGTAGCTCTTCCATAGTTGGCCGATGAGACGCTGGGAGCCAGCAGGACTGCATGACCTCATACCTGCAGTGGGGCAGGGATGGAAGAAGGATAGAGGAACAGTCGGAAAAACAGGCAGAAAAAGGAATAGGGGGAATCCAGTTGGGGAAATAGCCTGAAAGAAACATTACAGGTAAAGGGCAAGAAATAAGGAGGGGTTTTTTTTTTTTGAAAAAATAACAAAAGTTGGAAAAGAATCACAAAAAGAATTGTGGGGACAGAAGAACAGTTAGATACACATTGCTGAGAAGTCAGAGATAGAAAAAGAGAAAGCAAGTCAGACAGAGCTTGTGTACTACAACTATAGAAAAAAAAATAGGAGGAAAATAAATTAAGCAGAGCAGTTGCAAAAGCTGCCCAGAGGCCTCAACAGAAAGCCAGAAGAATGAACAGGCAATGGCCAGATCAGAGACATAATGGCTGTCACATCAAGAGAGCAAAATAAGGTAAAGGGTAAGCTAACTTGAAATACAAATAATTTTGAGGAGTATGAGGACTTTTGCAAAAAAGGGCAACGTTTGGACAGTCAGGTGTTGTTGAAGACCAACAGCCCTAGTCACTGGCTGTTGGTTAAGGATGATAGGAGCTGTAGTCCAACAACATCTGGAAGGCCAAAGGTTTCCCACATAGAAAGCTGCCTTACATTGAGTCAAACCAATGAGGTAGGAGATGTCTACATCAGTGGTTCCCAACCTTTTTTTGACCAGGGACCACTCTCCAACATTAGTACCAGAAAGATTACGAATCAGTTTTCGGTCAACTTTAGATTCGGTTTGGTTATTTGTTGAACTACAGTGGTTCCCAACCTTTTTTGACCAGGAACCCCTTGACCAGGGACCATTTGACCAGGGACCACACTTCAACATTGGGGCAAAACATTATGAATCCATTTTTGGTCAACTTTTCATTTGGTTTAGTTATTTGGGGTGATTATTCAGAAAATTGCACTGGATAGACCACATCAGCTCTAGTTTCTGATACAGGACATATGCCATCTGGTAGTTGCCATCTGCCCGCTCACAGAAAACCATATTTAATAATCTACAGTTGATGCGGTAATAGTAATCTTTCGTGGGGAGTCAGCCTCTCTCCTCCATGTCATCCCTGTTGCCTCTGCATTGTAAGAAGTTTCACGAGACCACTCGCTCTTATTGCTGCATGGTTTTGAGGCAACGGTGTAGTAATGGTGAGGCCGTGGACCATACTTTTGTTCTTGTGGACCACTGGTGGTTCACAGACCACAGGTTGGGAACCACTGGTCTACATTGACTGGGAGGGTTTGGGGAGCTTAGCACTCAACACTTCCTATACTGTAAATGCACTCTTAATCCTATCTTTACTTTAGCTTATCATACAACGTCATAGCTTTCTAAGTGATGTACAATGTCCATTAGTACATCACCTACTATTGTTTAGAAACCACTTCAGCATAGAGACACTGTTGGAGAGGTGTTACTCTGTTTAAATTCATATTACATAACTATGTCGGTTATGATTGTCTACTTTTAATTTTTTTGTTAATTTCTATTTGGTATTAAGTCTATAGTAATTACTGTTCTATTTTCTGTGATGTATCGTGTTTTGATGTAATTTGTTATATGCCTCTTTGCTGGCAATGAATGTTTGCTATAATTGTTGGAAGCTGCCCTGAGTCCCTCTGGGGAGATAGGGTGGTCTATAAATAAAGTTATTAATTAATTAATGTGTCACTGTTCTTCCTATGAGGATCCTTCAAGGATCTCCATCACAGAAACCCAGGCTTCTTCTGTTGATTGGGCTGGGAGAGAATTGACATTTCCAAGAGTTTTACTCTGTGTTTATCCTCTTTTCCTCCATGCTTATTGTACAATTATTTTTGTTTGTTTGTTTAAGATAGTGTTTCTCAACCTTCCTAATGCCACAACTCCTTAACACAGTTCTTGATGTGGTGACCCTCAACCATAACATTATTTTTGTTGCTACTTCATAACTGCAATTTTGCTACTGTTATGAATCGTAATGTAAATATCTGATATGCAGGATGTATTTTCATTCACGGAATTGGTACAAATACTCGATACACCCAAATTTGAATCCTGGTGGGGTGGGGGGGGGATTGATTTTGTTATTTGGGAGTTGTAGTTGCTGAGATTTATAGTTCACCTACAATCAAAGAGTATTCTGAACTCCATCAATGATAGAATTTAGTGACCTTGAGTTTGGGAGTTGTAGTTCACCTATATCCAGAGAGCACTGTAGACTTAAACAATGATGGATCTGGACCAAACTTGGCACGGATACTCAATATGCCCAAATGTGAACACTGAAGGAGTTTGTGGATAATAGACCTTGACACTTGGAAGTTGTAGTTGAGGGATTTATAGTTCACCTACAATCAAAGAGCATTCTGAACTCAACCAACGATAGAATTGGGACAAATTTCCCACACAGAACCCCCATGACTAACAGAAAATACGGTATTTTCTTATGGTCTTTGGCGACCCCTCTGACACCCCCCCTTGCGACCCTCCCAGGGGTTTAAAACAAGACGAGCAGCACAATGGTGCTTTCACAATGCAATTCCTTTAGGGTTAATTTCCAGAAAAACCATAGTGTTCAGGAAAAGTTTAAAGAGTAAGTAAAGAAGAAATATACAGGAATTGGGAGAGTAATATACAAAATCAGAACAACATGGAGGGAGATAAGGGAAAAATTGTGATGTGGAAATGATGTGGTGTGTGTTCAACTTCCTGATATGAGTGGGAAGTGAGAGAGGTTCCATAATAGCATAATTGTGCAATTGTTAACTTCCAGTTACATACAACCTCAAATCATTAAAGGAAGGTGAGAGGTGTAAATGGTATTGTCATTTTTCAAGTGCGAGAAAGCAAACACGGGAATTAACACCTCTGAAGCACAAAAGCAGTGATGCTCGAAAGACAACATTGTTTTTTCCGCCACCTTTCAGAGTACAAGAAAAGTGCTTTTCAAAGAGAACGACCTGAAACAACTGACTACTGTAGTGTGATAAGCATCTTAGAAATGAGCCTTTCCTCACCCTAGCGAGAGGTGATGAGGATTGATTTTGGGTCCTTCTGCAAGCAATGCGTGCGCTCTCCTCCTTCTCCACTACAGCCGCTCCATTTAAGCAACAACTTAAAGAGTAATTAAGAGGGCATCAAAACATTCTGCAGTAGACAAAATCAATACCCTCTCTCTTCTTATTAACATTCCATTAAGAGGTGCCCAGTAACAATGGAGAGGGAGAATGTACAGGCTTCAAAACAAAATGAGAAAGAAAGACAATGTCTTGTTGAAGGCTTTCATGGCTGGATTCACTGGGTTGTTGTGGGTTTTTCGGGCGGTATGGCCACGCTCTAGAAGTATTCTATCCTGACGTTTTGCCTGCATCTATGGCAGGCATCCTCAGAAGTTGTGAAGTATATTGGAAACTAAGCATTCCACTTTTCCTAGTTTCCAATTTTCCTAGTTTCCAACAGACCTCACAACCAACAGCCACATGACTTTGGAGGCATCTACAGACAACAGCAGCTCTTAATGATTCGAAATAGAGATGAGAACCACCCCCCAGAGTTGGACATGACTAGAGTTAATGTCAAGGGGAAACCTTTACCTTTACCTATAGTGTTGTTACTGTTTTCTATATCATGGGCTGTCAGGATCTATTTGTAGGAAAAACAGGTTGAATGTTGTCGTTCATGACAGTGTTGACAGGCAAAATGCAGTAACTGCACATACTTTTTTGGTATGTTTCTCAGCATCAATATATTGTTGAAGGCTTTCATGGCTGGAATCACTGGGTTGTTGTAGGTTTTTTCAGGCTATATGGCCATGTTCTAGAGGCATTCTCACCTGACGTTTTGCCTGCATCTACAGCAAGCATCCTCAGAGGTAGTGAGGTCACTACCTCTGAGGATGCTTGCCTTTGTTATGAGCAGCATTTTCTGTTGGCCATGGGAGTCCTGTGTGCCAAGTTTCGTTCAATTCCATTGTTGGTGGAGTTCAGAATTCTCTTTGATTGTAGGTGAACTATAAATCCCGGGAACTACAACTCCCAAATGACAAAATCAGTCCCCCCCACCCAATGCCACCAGTATTCATATTTGGGTGTATCGGTCCAATGAATAAAAATACATCCTCATATAAGATATTTACATGACGATTCATAACAGTAGCAACATTACAGTTATGAAGGATCAACAAAAATAATGTTATGGTTGAGGGTCACCACAACATGAGGAACTGTATTAAGGGGTTGCGGCATTAGGAAGGTTGAGAAACACTGGTCTAAGAAATTGGGCATGCACAAAGGAAACCTATATGTGCGATTTCACAGACACAACGAAGAAGAAAATGCATATCCACAAAAAAAAAAAAAGGAATTGGGACATCTGCTGGAAAGATAGTCTTGAAACATAAAGCTCAAGCATTGCAGGAGGGAGTTAATTTGCAGCCGGGTAGTCGGAAAACACAAAATTCAAGGAGAAAAGTAATTCATAGATTACCAAAGTTGTAACTGAAGTGGTAAAGGAAGAAGAGATGGGGAAAAGGTGAAACAAAGTACCACACCAGAAGAAAATCCGCCAGAATGACAGTATAGGGAGAGAGATGGGTGGATAGCCAGAGGAACAGTGGAGGAACACAGAGAAGGGAGAATGGAAAACATTAGGAGAAACCAGAATGTCAACAATGACTTTAATGTCCCAGGCAACAACCCAAACCACAAGCAATGCAGGACAAAACAATGGATGCTGATCAAGATGTAGAAGAACCATGAAAAAACATAATAGCTGATGGGTCTTACAGGAGTTTCGAAAAGTTATCTGGGGAGATTAAAATGACCCAAGAGTTTACGCAATGGATTTTGGGAGTTGTGATCTAGAACGCAACTTTTTTGAGTTCCGGATCTTCTTAGGAGGCAACCACAGGCTACACAGATTTGTCGGCATGTGCCAGAGAGGACTCACCAATAGTCAGAGTAAGGAAGCTTAAGGCGAGGCTTGGCCAGTTTCATCTGCTGCTCCTTGACGACAAAAGTCAGCACTTCCTCATCAGAGAGGTGCCGGTAAGGCTGGGAACCAAATTCAAAGAGCTCCCAGATGGTCACTCCCATCGACCTGGCCAAGAAAGCAAACAGAGAGATCAAGACCGAGAAATGGGTAACTTTCCACTCCAATCAGTTGTAGTAGAAGAAGGTAATAATAAAAGTGTTGTCTTGTAAACTTCCAGTAGAAATTGATGAGAGAATCATGCTGGAGACCTAAAGAAAAACACTTTTCTAGTTATCACTAGGTCTGCCTGCATGATTCAATGTGGCAATTGTCAGTGGCAATTGTTTTTAAGTGCAGGCCAGGGTGTTTAGGCACTGCGCCACCACTGGAACCACCTTGACTGGCTTATTAAATGTTCTTCACAAACTGTGTTCAATCTGCTTGTATAATAAACAAGTCTTAAGGAATACTTTAAGTTTGCAAGTGGATTCAGGTTGGAAGCCTATTATTGTGAATTTTAAAACACAGTATATTGGATTCATAGGGACCCCTGGTGGTGCAGCGGATTAAACCGCTGAGCTGTTGAACTTGCTGGCCAAAAGGTCAGTGGTTCGAATCTGGGGAGCAGGGTGAGCTCCTGCTGTTAGCTCCAGCTTCTACCAACCTAGTAGCTTGAAAACATGCAAATGTGACTAGATAAATAGGTACCGCTTCTGCAGGAAGGTAACGGCGCTCCATGCAGTCATGCTGACCACATGACCTTGGAGGTGTCTATGGACAACGCTGCCTCTTTGGCTTAGCACCACCTCCCAGAACCACCTTGACTGGTGGACTCAACTAGACTTAATGTCAAGAGGAAACCTCCATCTTTATTGCATTGGTTTAATCCTCAAACCAGTTGGATGATGGATTTCTGTTGAAGTGTGATTAAGAATTTTGTTACGGATTTGTGTGCAGTAGAGGGGAAATCTTTGGGACTCACCAAACATTGCTCTCCTTGGTTTGATCCACAACAATGAGGTTTCCATGCATCTCATCCAACAACTCTGGAGCAACCCAACGCAAAGGGATCCAGAGCCTGTCCGGAGTGATGTAATAGTCTTCCTATTAAATGCAAATAGAAAACAGCGCTGAGGCAGATTCTCCAAAACCAGAACTGACCATCTGTACATTCCAAGGTTTCACAGATGACAGTGTAAGGATCTCAGGACAGTGTAGAATCTCATTGCATGGGCAGTCCATACCTTGTAATTGTTGTGAGATAGCCCATAGTCTCCAACCCTCACTGTGAGGTCAGAAGTCAGTAAGCAGTTCCGAAGTGCCAGATCACTGCAAAGGGATAGTGATTCCTCAATTAGAGTGAAGACAGCGTGCAAGGAGAATGAACAGGCTATTTTCACAAGCTTTTACTCTTATAAGCACTCCAATTGTTATAACAAAAACAGAAGAAGGAACAGGTTGCTCTTTGTTAGATATTGGTATTTTTCTTCCACACTTCCTCCAAGATGCTATAGTGAGATATATGTCATCCCCTCTCAGTGTAATTGACAGAGATTGGCTCCCTTCAAAAATGAGAAACTATAGAAGGGAATCTGGGCTTACTGGGAAACATATTATTATTATTATTATTATTATTATTATTATTATTATTATTCTGACACAAAAACACAGTATGACACAGCAAATGAGATATATATGCTGGATTTGTATCACAAAATCACAAGTCGAACACTTCCCAAGTGTTTAGGACTGTGTGATTTATTATTATTATTATTATTATTATTATTATTATTATTATTATTATTATTATTAGATACACAACAAGATTAGCACACAGGAAACAAGATCACTATGCTGGCTGTTTTATTGGGTCACAAGTCGGACACTTCCTAAGTGTCTAGGACTATGTAATGTTTCGGCAAATAATGTGTGCAGATCTGAGTAGGGTGGCCTTTTGCAGCTGACCGATGGTAATTTTGTCAGTGCTGATTGTTTTCAAGTGCTGATCAAGGTCTTTGGATACTACACCCAGTGTACCGATCACTACTGGGACCAGCTTTACTGGTTTGTGCCATAGTCTTTGCAGTTCGATCTTTATATCCTCGTATCGTGTCAGCAATATTATTATTATTATTATTATTATTATTATTATTATTATTAGAAACACAACAAGATGAGTCCACAGCAGACACTCTGCTGGCTACTGAATTCGATTATTATTATTATTATTATTATTATTATTATTATTATTATTCATATAAGGACTCTGGAGGTCTTCAAGGGCTCTAAAAGGAGGCCCTTGAAGACCTCCAGAGTCCTTATCCAGTTTTATCCTTAACCAAATAAACGTAATTTGACTCCTAGGATTATAATTATCATGGGACATAAATGGATAAATAAATGAAGACATCAAAATCCACTTTCATGGGGGAAAACCTTGGATTTCTGAATGCAATCCCCCCCAGAATATGTTTATATATCGGTCTACATCTCCCTCCAGAGGAACACAGGAATCTTCCTCGCAAACCCTTGCTGCCCTACCTGTGGATGTAGTTGTTTTTATGCAAGTGCAACACTCCCAGTGTGATCTCATAGGCCATGCGCTGCAGTGTGCTCAGGTCCCGGGTTAGCAAATCTGGGGTCATCCCATCTGCTTTGCGTTGAGCTCGAAGGTAACGCTTCAAATCTCCCTGGACACACATGGGAGGAGAAGATGGGACAAGTGAAGTTAACTAAAAGAACACAACCTTTTCACTAAATCCCAGAAGACTGTCCAAAATCATACCAGCTTACTACCTAATGGAGAGTGCAACTACACTATAGAATTAATGCAAATTGACACCAGTTACATTACATTGCTCAGTGCAATGGAATCCTGGGAGTTATAGTCTTAGAAGGTATTCAGCCTTCCCTGCCAAAGAGCGCTGCTGCTTCACAAAACTACAACTCTTGGGATTCCACCGAATTACGCCATGGCAGTTCAAGCAGTGTCAAACTGCATTAATTCTACAGAGTAGATGCAGCGAAGAAGGAAATGCAGATGTTTGCATCTTACCACAGTTCTATCCACACTTTCTATCAGATTTTTAATGTGATTATATTATGAAACCCATTCAGAAGATGGGATCTACTCTGAGCAGACAATTTAGATATCGAATAAATCAAATCTAACCACACAACCCACCCAAATTCCCAACCTTTTTATAGCTTGTTATGCAAGAGCCTTCCAGTATGGTGACTGTGTAAGGCCTGGTCCAGGCTCCTTTGGTCGATTTTCAGATCACACATTTTTTTAAAAATAAGACCTGTAAGTATGCAAAAAGGCGTAGGCAGCACCCAGTTGCTATTTAAATCCACTGTTGACATGTGATATTCTGCCAGTCAAGCACTGGAATCAAGGACAGATGCTATGCCCTCGTTTCAACTACTTTATTTTATAAATAATTTGATTTTATAGCTATTTGATTACTTCAATATACTAAGCCATTGCATTTAGGTTCTGGTTGTTCTGCCGAACTATACAGTATTTATTTACAGTAATTATATTCCGCCCTTTCCACCCCACAGAGGACTCAGGGCAGATAACAATGCACATATACATGGCAAACATTTAATGCCATAGACACACAACATATATAGACAGACACACAGAGGCCATTTAACTTTCCAGCTTCATGACAGTATGCTTTGAATTCTGACCACCAGGGGCGCTGACGCTTCACCGTCTACTTGTGACACCAATGGAGTACTTCCTCATTCTTTTGCATACTGCTGGAGATTTTTATGGTGTCGTAAATTAGTTAAATTATCCTCCCTGCATAAGCGGTAGCTAAATTTCCTACTTGACAGATGCAACTGTTTTTCAGGCTGCAAAGGTTCACAACAAGCTAGACAAATAGTCAGGCTGGCTTTGAACTCATGACCTTTTGGTCAGTAGTGATTTTAATGTAGCTGATTCCCAACCAACTGCGCCACAACCCGGTACATATATATCTCTAGTTCGTGTGTGTGTGTGTGTGTATGACCAATCCAAGTAGAGGTGGTGAGCGGGAATGCAACAAGGAATTCTTCTTCCACACACAGACATGAAATTGTGAGAATGGTTTTCTTGTCTTCGTTTATGTTGGCTCATGTCTACTCACCAGTTGGCAGAATTCCATGATAAGCAAGTAAGGAATGGTCTCTGTGCAAAGGCCGAGGCACTGCAATATGTTTGGATGTTGGAGGCTTCTTGAGAGCAAGGAATAGTTCGCGAGAGGCAGGAAAAGGGGGAGAGAAAAAATAGGAAGGTTTGACACAATTCATCCCAAAAATGAGACAACATTTTTTGGGGAGTCTGCTTCTGAATGGCTGCATGAAGCGCCGTTATAGTTATAAAGGGTATAATCATACTACTTAGGTGTATTTTCATTTATTATTTATGTATGGTATTTCTATCCTGCCTTTCTCAAGCCCAAAGGCAACTCAGTCAAGTGGCCTGTAGTAATCACAGTCAAGTGGCTTGTAGTAATCGGGTATTTCAAGTTCAAGTTTAAGTTTATCCGATGCTTAGACCATAGGTCTTTCACATATAAGGCCAATAGATAAATACATGAAACCAGATTATTAAATACAATATAAAATACACAATTAAAATCCTATAAATCATTAAAATATTACATATATGTCTCTTTTTGCCCTGGCAGCACAGAAAATCTGAGCAAGACTAATTTCTGATATTGCAGTTGACTGTGTTGCTTTTAACTAATAGTGGCTGTTTATATAATTTTAATAATGCGGTGTCTATTTGGTTTTACCTGGTTTTTAATTACGCAGGTGCTAGTCTATGTAGTATTTTAAGATTGATATTTAAATAACTAAAAATAACTGCTTAAGTTATATTGCACAATGAAAAAGTAAATGATTAATTAGATATACTAGTAACTTTTTTTTGAAATCTTGGAAATGCAACTGCAACTAAATATTTTAAAAATGCCAATCTCAGGGTCAATGGATACAATTATCTGAGATGTCTAACTTGGCATTACAACAGTATGTTGTAACAATATCCCATGTCCTATAGTAATAAGATATAATATTATTTTTGGGCGAGAATATGGTTCTCACTCCTTACCGATAGGGCTGGGCCTCTGATATGAATTTCCTCTGTTCAAGTGGCCCAGCATTCACCCGTAACTCCTTCACCACGACTTGTGCAGGGGTGAAATCGGAGAATATTTCACCCAGAATTACCTATGAAACAGAAGAAATGGAGATGGCTGTGAAAATCTGCTCCAAGGTTATGCACAAAAACCAGTTATAGGCTGCAGCAAGACATGTATCTTCACCATCCCCTTCCTTGAAGGTCCTTCTTTGGAGCTGACCAGGAATTGGCCAGTTCAATTTTCTTGATTTTGCACGTTCCAGAACTTCCTGTGCAAGCGTTGCTGTGCGTTGCATGCGATAGTTTACATTTAAGGAATGGGATGTCATCAAGTCTTAAAGGGATGTCATCAAGTCTTAATGGGATGTCATCAAGTCTTAAAGGGTTATATAGCATATCAGTAAGTGCAAAGCCTTAGGCTTACAAATTATTATTATTATTATTATTATTATTATTATTATTATTATTATCATCATCATCATTATTATTTGATACACAAGATTAGTACACAGCAAACAGGATCACAATACTGGTTTTTGTATTTGATCACACGTCGGACACTTCCCAAGTGTCTAGGACTATGTGATGCCACAGCGAATAATGCATGCAGATCCGAGTAGGATGACGTTTTGCAACTGACAGATTATAATTTTATCAGTGCCGATTGTTTTTAAGTGCTGGCCAAGGTCTTTAAGCACTGCACCTGGTGTGTCAATCACCACTGGGACCACCTCTACTGGTTTGTGCCAGATTCTGTGCATAAGCTTTTCTAGTTGCTTCTTGTCAATCCTGCTGTCCCCTGGAATTGCAACATCAACGATACATACTTGTTTTTTAACATGATCGTGAGGTCAGGAGTATTGTGCTCCAAAACTCTGTCAGACTGATTTTGGAAGTCCCAGAGAAGTTTGACATGTTCATTTTCTGTAACTTTTTCAGGCTTGTGATCTCACCAGTTCTTTGTCACAGGCAGATGGTGTTTGTGGCACAAGTTCCAGTGGATCATCTGAGCAATTATTATTATTATTATTATTATTGATTATATTCTGCTTTTTTGTCCACAAAGGAGACTCAAATAAAAATAGCTTAGTGCTTGGGTAACGACATAAGAAGCTAAACTGGTAAGTGCTAGACATAACAAGAAGGTGAAGGGCAATGAGGTTCTCAAAAGTGGCTGGGTTGCATTTTAGAAATAAAATTGGTCTTTTGGCGGTAAGATAATCTGCAAGATGTCTTGCTCACCTTTCCAAACCAGCCATTTCCAATCTCCTGCAAGTAACTGAGGTGTTGTCTGCTTAGTCCCAGGTGCTTCACCAGATCTGCAAGAATGATACAAATATTTCAGAAAAGGAATCAAAAGCTAGCCCAAAGCTCCAGTTTAAACCCATTTATCTTTAAGGTCCCCCATGCCCTAAAGTTACTAGACAACATGTGTTGAGAGATACATTAGGCAAGCTTAAGAAGACCCTGAAAGCCAAGACACATAAAGTATGTTTACATTGCAAATGGAAATCATTTTCAGATCAGTCCAACTGTTATGGCAACCAATCAAGAACCTTTGATTGGTAGTTCTCTGAGTATATCCAGTTAAATGTACTTAGCACATCCTTAAAATTGAAATTATAAGTTTCTGTGGGAGAAGCCACCACTGTTAGATGACTTGAAAATGTCTGTAAAAATATGAGGTTAACATGAGATGATCAGAATTAAAGCAGGAGTACTTTGAGGAGAGGACTCCTTGATGTTTGAAGGATGAGACTGAATTATCTGAAATGAAACTGTGTTTAGACCAGTGGTTCTCAACCTGTGGATCTCCAGGTGTTTTGGCCTACAAAGCCCAAAAATCCCAGCCAGTTTACCAGCTGTGAGGATTTCTGGGAGTTGAAGGCCAAAACATCTGGGGACCCACAGGTTGAGAACCACTGGTTAAGAGGATCCAGGATTACTGGATTATCCAATGAGATGAGCAACCCCATCATGTCCAAATGGTTTGGACCACAGATCACAAAAGTCCAGCCTCACTGACCACTAGTGAAGAATTATGGAACTTGTGCAAAATATCTGAAGGACACAATTTAACTTCAATTAGGAGTAGACCACAGCAGGGAAACAGAAGAGAAGACAGATTTATAAGTCAAGAAACACTATGAAACACTCATGTAAGCTGCACCGGGTCCCTTGGGGAGATGGTAGCGGGGTACAAATAAATTATTATTATTATTATTATTATTATTATTATTATTATTATTATGAAGGAGAAACAAAAATTACTATATTGAAATAAAAATACATAAGAATTAAGAAAGGAAAAGAATGAGTTAGTCAGAATTCTACAATAATATGTGGCAAATAAAGAGCAAGCTATTCACTAGAGGTGTGCGATCCATTAAAAAAAGGTTCAAAAGTCATTCCAAAACAGGGGGGAAGGGGGCACTGGCACTTTGTTTCTAGAGTATTTCCAATGTATGCTATTTCGTTACTATTTCATTATAGTAACTGTGCACAATTAAATTACTATAATTGGGGAAACTTCAGGGGCTCCTTTCTCCCTCACATTTAATGCTATTGTGATGAAATTTGCTGCAATGGTAGAACACGTTACCACTGTTAGCCCACCAAATTTCAGAATGTTACAGTCATCAACTAATTTTAGGGAAATTTCTGAGTATTTTACAAACATTTTTTAAAAAAACTTACAAGAGCTATCAACTTGAATTTTATAGACAATGCACAAGATTATCAGGGCATCATTCCCTAGAAGTTTCAGAAGGATTCATATATTTACATATTTTGCGGGATTTTTTTTAAAGTTTAGACAAAAACAATTTATCCCCCCAAAAGCAACAACAGCAATCCCATTGAATGTCTGTCTCTATGACACACAACTTACCACAGATTTATACTATAACTTACTTACTTTAGTCCACTTTGCAGATTGAGTAATTTTATTGATTTATTATTAGACTGACTCTAAACGGCTTGTGCCATTGGGACTTTCTGATACTGAGCACTGAATTCTGGGAAATGTAGTTTAGGGCAGGGACTTTTATATGTAGTTTAGGCACAGGGGCCTCACCTTCCCAAACTACATTTCTAAGAATGCCTTTGCTAGTCCTGCACCCAGTGCCTTTGTTTATGGCGACTGGACCAAAGAAAAACAAGATTAAACACTTTATGTTCTCTTGGCTCTACCAAAGTTGCTTAATGCTTATACTGAAAATTAATCTGATTTTGAGAGGCATCAGAATGTTACAGAATCTTAAGGAAAATGATTGGTGAATGTTTCAAGTTTTGAATTCTACCTCATTTTTCCTGTATGTTTCTAATATCGATTTGTATGCACAAATTTAACAAATTTTCCAAATTTTATGACGCTTTCTGATTTATTTGCACATGCCTACTATTCATGTTAAACACAATTAGCGGTTTCATTCTAAAATGCTATTGGTTTGCCACTCTGCTTTTCTGCACAAAATATGAAGGATTTTCACCACAAAGGTGCCACAGTTTAGACTGGCATTACCATACATTCAACAGAAAATTATGACCAAGGAGTGGCTGTCACTACAGTCAGCCCTTCACATTTGTGGATTTCACTTTTGCAGATTTGATTATTCATGGGTTTGATAATTATGGTCTCCTTCAGAATCTCTAGCTCTTCCACTGTGCCTCTATGGTCAACTAGGTTCTCCAACACAACTTCAGCAAAGGTCCTGTGCCCCTAATCCCTGAAAATGTGGCGGGATGATTATAAATTGTTGCTATCTCTAATAAACAAGACTCATAGGATGAAGAGATAATTAACACCATCTCCTTTCCTCCCATAAATATCTTACCAGTTTTGGGCATCTGTTGGTTAGAGGATGGGAGCGAGACCTCGGAGAGTGGCAGAATGTAGACATCTGGGATAGATTGAGAAGAGGATGTCTCCTCTGCAGGTGGTGTGTACTCTCCAGAATATTCTTCTCCATCTGGGTTCTCAAATTCCTAGTAGGAATGAGAAGTGAGGGTAAGGATCCCTTAAATATGTATACGAACCCTCTTGTACCCAAGTCAATCTTGAGATCAACCAAGGGGTTGTTAGATGTAGCTTTATTTAATAAATGGAATGCAAATCATTCTCTCTTTTATTTTAGTGCAGAGTTAAGGATAAAAATAAATGCCTCAAGACTCTAGAGAAAATATGTCACGCCCACCTTTATAGCTCCACAACCTGGCTTACCTTAAACCCTACGTCGCCCCGCTTGCAGCAAAGGCAGGTGAGGAGGAGGAAGATAAATGCCAGCAAGCCTGAGCAGGAAATGAGGACCACGGCATAGGGAGGGGCCAGAGGAGCCCGACCCTGGGATAATCCATCTGGAGGGAAAGCAAGAAACGGAAGACAGTCATTCAACCTTCGGTGCCATCCATTTATTTATTTATGGCATTTCTATCCCGCCTTTCTCGAACCCGAAGTAGACTCAAGGTGGCTTACAACCAGGCAGCAATTCGATGCCCGAACAATATGCAATGAAAATGGCATTTACACAGAATTAAAAATACATTAAATAAAACCTTTATAAACATATAAAACCAATGCCTTCGTTGTAAGTTTCATTGTCCAAAATTCGTCATCTGACCTGTTCCAATGTTTACTTTCATCTGATTTTGTGTCTGATTGTTGCATTAGATTCTGAAGGCTTGTTCAAATAGTCACATTTTCACTTTTTTTCTGGAAGGTCAACGGGGAGGGGGCTGATGTAATATCCCTGGGGAGGGCATTCCACAACTGAGGGGCCACCACTGAGAAGGCCTTGTCTCTCGTCCCAGCCAGTCCCAAAGAAGCGAAAACTGGGGGGCATTCAGTGGAATTCACAGAAGAAACTGGAGAAATGTCTTAAATAATAGTCTTCTCTTAAAGATTATTATTGTATTAGTTTAAAATTTTGAAGTCTATGTATCACAAAAACAACCATTTTAAAGCTTCTTGAGATGGGCCTCCAGCCTTCTCAACTAGCAGAAGCAGGATTGAAAAGACACAATAAACAAATAATACCTTTATTGGAACCAATTGAAATACCCCACAGTTGTAACCCCTGCTTAGGAAAGGTATGTTAATCACCAGAACTCCTCAGCTACAATGGCCAAGACCACTTTCAGATTTCCCAGAATCCAATTGAAATGCAGCTCATGTTTTTAAAGTTTGTAAACAGGCTGATCCCAGGTTTGAGGGTATCCTTGGGCAGCTGTCTTCTTCCCCCATCCTGATGCAACCAAGAAAATGGTAATATTGATTGCAGCCATAGATAAGTAAACCAGTGATTCTCTACTGCAGTGGTTCTCAACCTGTGGGTCCCTAAATGTTTTGGCCTTCAACTCCCAGAAATCCTAACAGCTGGTAAACTGGCTGGGATTTCTGGGAGTTGTAAGCCCAAACAACTGTGAACCCACAAGTTGAGAACCACTACTCTACTGAGTAGCCAGTTAAACCCCAACACCCATCTCCACTTTATGCTCCCCTCCAATAAGTTGTCCATATATTGGGGAGCTTTGGGAACATGCTATGATGCCCAACCTAACATTCATAGAGCATTAAATTCCTGAATAGGGCATGTACAGCAATCACTATCAACAAGCGTATCCCAGAAAGATAAACCTTTGCGCTGGCAGGACTGAAGATCTACAAGTCAGAGGTTCGAATCCGGGGAGAGTGCGGATGAGCTCTCTCTGTCAGCTCTAACTCCCCAAGTGGGGACATGAGAGAAGCCTCCCACAAGGATGGTAAAACATCAAAACATCCAGGCGTCGTCCCCTGGACAACATCCTTGTACACCAGTGGTTCTCAACCTGTGGGTCCCCAGGTGTTTTGGCCTACAACTCCCAGAAATCCCAGCCAGTTTACCAGCTGTTAGGATTTCTGGGAGTTGAAGGCCAAAACATCTGGGGACCCACAGGTTGAGAACCACTGTTGTAGACGGCCAATTCTCTCACATTAGATGCAACTTGTAGTTTCTCAAGTCGCTCCTGACACACAAAATCCAAGGAAACCTTTTAGACCCAAAATATAATCAAAGTCATTCTGGATAAATTGGAAACATCAAAATAGGACAGAGTTTCCATATCTTTAATAATTCTGTGGAAAGGGGAATTTTGGCAGACATCTCATGATGAAAATACTTTTTTCATGCTGTTATTAAAAGTAGTACAAGAGTCCTGTCTTCTTTCACTTGTGGTCAACCTACTTCTAGCATACTCAACACAGCTGCCACCACATGTGAACTCCCACTTTTTGGAAACAGATGATTAATGTAGGGTTTATTTTACATGTGGGAAATATGTCAGAAATAGTGCTACCTGGATTGGGAAGGACAGCTGTTGAACAGACCACAGATCCCTGTTGCAAAGCTTTGGAACGTTACTTTTTTGGACACATCTGAATATGCTCAAGATGGTTTTAGCACTCAGTCCAAAACTATCTATACTATTTATTATTTACCACATTTATATCCCGCTTTCTCAGCCCAAAGGGGACTCAGGGCAGCCTTACAAGGGCAACAATTCAATGCCATATATTAATACATCCGTAAATAAACAATGTATGTATCATGTATCAGAGCATCTAAACCAGGCATAGGCAAACTTTGGCCCTCTAGGTTTTTTGGACTTCAACTTCCACAATTCCTAACAGCCTATCGGCTGTTAGGAATTGTGGGAGCTGAAGTCCAAAACACCTGGAGGGCCAAAGTTTGCCCATGCTTGATCTAAACCAATAGCACTCTAACTGATGCTTCTACGTGTCCGGACTACATTATGACAACACAGAATATATAGCAAGGGATATGGAAAGGATATATATATATAGAGAGAGAGAGAGAGAGAGAAAATTATAGCTTCTACATGAGATACACAAAAAGTTTTTTAAAAGATGGCTTTGAATATAAATTAGAAGAAAACCTTTGAGGTGTGAGAACAGGTGGGATAACAAGCTCCTGAAATGACCAGCAATAAAACATTAGCTACCTTGTTAAGAACAGGATTAAAATATCTATTCCTCTCTTCTTCCTTCTCAGGCTCCATCTACACTGTCATATAATCCAGTTTCTGAATCCAGAGTAGACTAATATAATCTAGTCCAAAGCAGATAATCTGGATTCAGAAGCTGGATTATATGGGGGTGCAGATCCAGCCTGGGGCAGATCTCATGGTTTGTTTGGCTTCTAATCACAAAAATATTCACAAAATATTTTCAAAACTATTCATGAAAATATTCAGAAAAATATTCATGGAAATATTCACAAAATCTTTCAAGGTTTCAAAATTCAATGTGTAGCAAACTAATATTTTTGTTTTTCATGGACAACAAAATATCTTGCTGGATCCATTCAAAATTGGTTGATTTGGTTCAAATAATCTTTTTCACACGAAGACTAATCAGGTTATAGCCAAGCAAAAGCTGCTCTGAGACCCTTTTAAGAGAGGAAAAAGTGGCATATAAACAACAACGACAACAACACCCACAAGCCTTGCTTCCCAGTCTGAAATCTGGGTCCACACACAGATAACACACAAACTACATAAAAGCTCTATGGGGAAGGACTCAATAGTCATCATTCTACAGCTGAGCCTGAAAAACGGTGACTTGCACAAAGATAATGTGTAAGTTCATGGCAATGCTGAAGGAATTCAGCCTACATCATTCACATCTATTTCCAATACCTTACAGTAACATCTGGGGCCATGTTGCTTTCAAATCACCAACACACCTCTCTCTCTGCAGATCCATGCCTCCACAAAAACAATCCGAGTCCACACACATCAATGCCTTCCATCCAACATCAAAACAAGTCATCTATCTATCTTCTCCAAACCATCATGAAACCATATATTGTTGAAGGTTTTCATGGCCGGAATCACTGGGTTTTGTAGGTTTTTCGAGCTATACGGCCATGATCTAGAAGCATTTTCTCCTGACATTTTGCTTGCATCTATGGCAGGCATCCTCAGAGGTTGAGGTCACAACCTCTGAGGATGCCTGTCATAGATGCAGGCAAAATGTCAGGAGAGAATGCTTCTAGAACAGTGTTTCTCAACCTTGCTAACATCGCAATCCTTAATACAGTTCCTAATGTTGTGGTGACCCCAACCATAACATTATTTCCATTACTACTTTATAACTGTAATTTTGCTACTGTTATGAATCATCACGTAAAGGCAGGATATCTTTTCATTTTCTGGACCAAATTTGGGACAAATACCCAATACACCCAAATCTGAGTACTGGTGGGGTTGGGGGAGGATTGATTTTGTTATTTGGGAGTCATAATTGCTGGGATTTATAGTTAACCTACAATCAAAGAGCATTTTGAACTCCATCAATGATGGAATTGAACCAAACTTGGCACACAGAACTCTCATGACCAACAAAAATACTGGAAGGACTTGATGGGCACTGGTTTTGAGTTTTGGAGTTGTAGTTCACCTACATCCATAGAGCACTGTGGACTCAAACAGTGATGGATCTGGACCAAATTTGGCACGAATACTCAATATGCCCAAATGTGGAAACGGGTGGAGTTTGGGGGAAATGGACTTGGCATTTGGGAGTTGTTGTTGCTGGGATTTATAGTTCACCTACAATCAGAGAGCACTCTGAACCCCACCAATGATAGAATTGGACCAAAATTCCCACACATAACCCCCATGGCCAACAGGAAATACTGTGTTTTCTGATGCTCTTTGGCAACCTCTCTGACACCCCCCTCATGACCCTCCCAGGGGTCCCAACCTGAAGATTGAGAAACACTGCTCTAGAACATGGCTATATAGCCCGAAAAACGTACAACAACCCATCATGAAACCCTTCTCCATCATATGCGATACCAAAGTCTAGCTCTTCCTGTACCCCAACATTCCTTCCCTAGAAGGGCATAGGTTTTGTGATGGTTCAAGTGAACCCTAAAACACCCTCCCACTAGATCTGTATGCCAAGAACACCTCCCAACCGAGCTCCCTTCCCTGTTCCCAGATGTTTGTCAGGCCAAACACCGCCTCACGCAATGACACACTCTCAATATTCAACAGACTTCCCAAGCTCAGACCTCACACCCACCTTCCCACCCTTTTCCACCTTGTTTTCTTCGTGAACAGATATTATCCCTGGATGTCTGGTATCATGCTCTAATTATAGTAACAACCACCAATATGCAAGGGGAGGAACCGTTTCCCCTCCCACCACCACCACAATAACATGTATTCCTATCCCTTGGAGCCCTTCAGGTTGTCTCAGATCCCACCACCACCACTGATGGGAGGATCAGGGTGGAAAAGCCAACAACAACCAGCAGAACGCCACAGCCAGCAATATGCATCTGACAAAAATCTGCAATGATTAATTTGCTCTGTGCAGGAATCCCAGCCTACCCTGGAGAATGCAATTTATAACCCAGACGACAGCACACCAATTTTCACATCTGGGAAGGATGTTTTTTGGGGGGAGAGGATCCATGTCTGTCACCACCAAGCCCACACTGCACACAAAAGGGGGATTTGGGAATTTGGAAGGTAACCCATCCCACAAACAGGTGGCCACAGATAATATGGAGAAGCATTGGAGGTAAAGCCGAGAAGGACCAAGGTGGCTTCCACAGAAGGACAGGCACGTCGGGCAGCCCTCACGACCTGCCAAGACTCACCATTTTCCGAAGGCGCTGCCAAAGCTTTCTCGGGGTTGAAATACGACATGGACGCAGCCAGAAGAAGGAAGGGGCCTTGTCTTAGCATCTTAGGGGGGAGTCGAGAATCATGGATCAGGAAGGCAAGGGGGAAAGGGGGGTTTCAAAAAGCAGGTGTCACTAGGAGGGATTGGGGAGGGGTGCAAGATATCAGCCACCCAACGAAGCAGAGAATGGAGAGAAAAAAGGGGGAAATGATGGGGTTCAGTCAGCTGTCAGAAAAGATAGAATGGAGCAAAAGAGGCCAGGAACAATGGTACCCAAAGGAGAGGGTCGCCAGCATCCTTAAAATGCTGTGCGACAGCCAGGCTTGCTGGCGCTGCCGCTGTTACCTGGACCTCATCCTCCAGCATCTTTCCTCATTTCCTGAAGGAGGGGAAGGGAGAGGAGAGGAAAAACGAAAATAAATAAATTCAGGAAGGCCTCAAACAGGGAAGGAGGGGGGCAAAGAGAAATCGAAGGTGGCTGAACTGGAGACAAGGATGGTGAAGAAAGGGGGGTGAGAGATTGTAACAATAGGTGATCTCAGGAATGGGGGGAAGATAGGAAGGGATGGAAAGAAGCAGATGTATAGGGAAGAGGGAGGGGTGGGGAAGAGGTGAACCTAAAAAAAAACCCAAGTGAAGGAAGGAAGGGGAAAAGGGGGGGAAAGAGAGAAATGGGGGGGAAAGGCGATTGGGTCTGTGCCCCCCTCCTTTTCAGATCCTTGCTGTCTGGGTAGGAGAGAAATTGATGGAGATGAAAGCCCGCCCACCCAGCTCTGTGTGTTGATTGGGCAATAGGGATGTCGCTTTAGGCTTAAGGGAGGAGGATGCAGGAATGGATGGAAAGGGGGGGATGTTGTCGCCATGGAAACCTGCTCCTGGGTAGCAGCATTGGCAGCAACAGCAGCAAGGAGCAGAGCAGCAGGATGGTGAGCGCACTAGGAAAGGATGGAGCAATTAGAAGAGGGGTTCAGAAACCTGCGTGGGGAATGGGGATGGGTATTTTGCACGTGGGCCATGCTATCCATGCAGCAGGCATTACCCAGATCCAGTGCCCTCTTGCACAAACATACTTGAATAAACAGCATCCCCCCTTCCGCTCTCTCTCACACACAACTTATAATAGGTCATGCACAATATTTCAAGCCTGCAGAAATAGTCACACATAGACGGATCCTGAGTGTCATCCTATTAACCTACTTATTTTTGTATATATATTTTTACGAGATTGGTGTCATGTTTTGGAACCCCAACGCAGATGAGCAGAAAGAAAGATTTGAAATTATGTTAGTTAAAAAATCATTAATGTAGAACTAAACTCAACTCATAGGGATAAAGCCACGGCATTATGTCAAAGATCCAAATGTGTCACATGAAATCAAATGGAAACAACACAAGAGCGGAGGGAGGAGAGAAACCTTCATTCCTTTCTCAAAAGAAGGAAGAGCTACAAGAAGAGCTACAAGAGCTACAACTACAAGAAAGGAGATTCCATCTGAACATGAGGAAGAACTTCCTGACTGTGAGAGCCATTCAGCAGTGGAACTCTCTGCCCCGGAGTGTGGTGGAGGCTTCTTCTTTGGAAGCTTTTAAACAGAGGCTGGATGGTCATCTGTCAGGGGTGGTTTGAATGCAATATTCCTGCTTCTTGGCAGGTGATTGGACTGGATGGCCCATGAGGTCTCTTCCAACTCTATGATTCTAAGAGCTGTTCAGCTGTGGAACTCTCTGCCCCAGAGTGTGGTGGAGGCTCCTTCTTTAGAGGCTTTTAAGCAGAGACTGAATGGCCATCTGTCAGGGGTGCTTTCAATGTCATTTTCCTGCTTCTTGGCAGGGGGTTGGACTGGATGGCCCATGAGCTCTATGATTCTATGAAGGAATTTGTAAACATGACATCAGAGTTCTCTGGAAGGAGTTCCACTTGTTAGTGGCCACTACTGTAAAGACTCTCACCCCCATTAATAGCAACTTTATGGATATCCAGACTGTACAATTATAGCAATTTGATATCACTTTACCTGTAGTTGTTGTTGTTTATTTGTTCAGTTGCTTCTGAATCTTTGTGACCTCATGGACCAGCCTCACCAGAGCTCCCTGTCAGCTGTCACCAACTCCATTTCCTTCAAGGTCAAGTCAGTCACTTCAAGGATGCCATCCATCCATCTTGCCCTTGGTCGGCCCCTCTTCCTTTTTCTTTCCATTTCCCCCTGCATCTTGGTCTTCTCCAACCTTCCCTGTCTCCTCATGATGTGGCCAAAGTACTTCATCTTTACCTCTAATATCCTTCCCTCCAGTGAGCAGTTGGGCTTTATTTCCTGGAGGATGGACTGGCTTGATCTTCTTGCGATCCAAGGCACTCTCAGCATTTTTCTCCAACACCACAGTTCAAAAACATCTATCTTCCTTCACTCAGCCTTCCTTATGGTCCAGCCCTTGCATCCATAGGTTACTATGGGGAATACAATTGCTTTAACTATATGAATCTTCATTGCCAATGTGATGTCTCTACTCTTCACTATTTTATTGAGACTGGTCTTTGCTCTCCTCCAAAGAAATACACATCTTCTGATTTCCTGGCTGCAGTCTGCATCTGGAGTAATCTTTGAGCCTAGAAATACAAAGTCTGTCACTGCCTTCACATTTTCTCCCTCTATTTCCCAGTTATCAATCAGTCTGATTGCCATAATCTTGGTTTTTTTTAATGTTTAATTGCAAGCCAACTTTTGCACTTTCTTCTTTCATCTTGATTATAACTGTGGTGGCTCCATGTCAAAGAATCCTGGGTTTTGTAGTTTCTTGAGGGATTTAGAATTTTCTGCTAGAGAGAGAACACTAGAGAGGTCTCTCCCAAACTACAGATCCTGGGATATAATGGATAGAGCCATGGTAGTTAAACTGGGTCTAACGGGCTTGAGTGGCTATATTTGTGCAGATAGATTCTCCTTTTAACTCTCCCCACACAATGTTATAAACCCAACACTGAAAATTCTGTCTCATACAGGTGTTTTGAATTGTATCACCCTAACACTACATAATTGGACCATATAATAATATAGTCCAGAGACACCTCACCAATAAATATAGGATTGGGCTCTCTAGCCACATCCCTGGCAGTGATGCTCCCATGGGCCACAATCCTTGGCAGCCACATATTCAACAACAATATAAAATGGGGCCCAAAATTGGAACCTTGATTAGCATTTGATGGCCTGACAGTTTTTAGGTGTGGCTTGTTACTGCCTGGGAGAATCCTTTGTTGAGAGGTGATTAGCTATCCCTGATTGTTTTTGTATGAAGTTCCTTTGTGTTTGAGTGTTGTTCTTTATTTGCTGTTATAACTTTAGAGTTTTTTTTAAATACTGATAGCCAGATTTTGTTCATTTTCATGTTTTATCATTTCTCAAAAGGAACTTAGATATAGGAAGTAGTCCGTTTGCCGATTCCTGTCCACGTTAGCTCACTCACCCCAATTACTGCAACTTTTATACACTCCATTTCTTGTTTTATTATGCCTAGTTTGCCCTGATTCATACTTTATGCATTCCAAATCCCTTTAATATGAGTGTTGTGCAGCTTTAGACTTTTCTGTCACCTCTGAGCGCATCAACAGCTGAACTTCCTTTTGGCTTGTGTCCAGTTGAATCATTAGCCAAAGTGGCACTTGCAATCTAAATTACTTGTTCTCTGCTGTATCCCAATGCCAACCAACGAGAGGGTGTCATTTTCTGACATTATCCCTTTTTGCCTTTTCGTATTATCTCAAGATAGGATTTCGTGATAAACGATATTTAAAAGGAGAAGTATTAATCTAAGAAATCCTCCATGAATGTCACCTCTCATTACTGCTTCTGCACAGTTTTGGCACGCTTAATCTGGCTCCTCAGCAAAACCCTGTCTCACAAGAGAGGCCTTACCAACAGTACTGCCGCCCTTATCATAGGCCCATCTACATTGACCATTTAATGCAGTTTGAACCAGCTTCCAACTGTAGCAGGTAGACAATAAATGCCCATAAAAATGTACAAAAGTAAGCCCTTAATATGCACATCAACATTCTGTACTTTGATCAATCACCATCTGGGACGCAAACTGGACTTCCTCCGGAATCATCTGCACAGAGAAAACACTTCCTTTAATACCAGTTTGAAACTGCATTAAGTAGTTAGTGTAGATAGGGTCATAGCCTCTTGCTTCAGAGACATATGCAATCTCACCATCTATGACAGGTATTTAGATCTCATTTTTAGCAATAAACATGAGCCTTTGCTATATATTATAGCAGGCATGGGCAAACTTCGGCCCTCCAGGTGTTTTGGACTTCAACTCCCACAATTCCTAGCAGCCTACCGGCTGCTAGGAATTGTGGGAGTTAAAGTCCAAAACACCTGGAGGGCCGAAGTTTGCCCATGCCTGTATTATAGGCTTCTCATTCCCTATACTGTGTATTGTCTTGCATCAGTAGCAAATAAATATTGAAATAGTTGCATTCAGAATTTTCCAGTCTTCCTCCAGGCCAAACTACAGAAAAGATGGCTTTGACGTGATTAGCAATTGGATGGTTATTTGGAGGTAAACAGCAGGTGCCCATGCATGCAGCCACTATAATCCTAATCCGGATTATGGCCCTGTATTTGCAATTTGCCTTGGAAAGAGCGCTGGCATTTGCACCACTGAGAGTGAGCTTTTTCCTATTAAGGTTTCCAGAGTGGAAACAGTTTGTGTACCTTTAATGGCTCTGTGGCAGAAAGAATATTTCCATAGGGTTGCTGTGAGATTTGTGGGCTGTATGGCCTTGTTCCAGAGGCATTCTCTCCTGACGTTTTGCCCAGGCATCCTCAGAAGTTGTGAGGTCTGTTGGAAACTAGGCAAATGGGGTTTATATATCTGTAGAAAGTCCAGGGTGGGGGAGAGAACTTATGTCTATTTGAAGCAAGTATTAATGTTGCAATTGGCCATCTTGATTAGCACTGAATGTCCTTGCAGCTTCAAAGCCTGGCTGCTTCCTGCCTGGGGAATCATTTGTTGGGAGGTGTTAGCTGGCTCTGGTTGTTTCATGTCAGGCATTCCCCTGTTTTTTTAGTGTTCCTTTTTATTTACTGTCCTGATTCCCATAGGTCTTGCTTATTTACTGTCTCTACAGGCAATATTTACTGAAATTCCGTCTACTGCGTAGCCATGAAAGTTACTGGGGCCCTCTCTAGTTTGCTCTCTGACAAGCCTATATTCCCATAACTATAGTATTGCCACCTTCTCTTTTCTTTAATGTTCAAAGAGAAAGCATCTCGCCAATTTCTGCCTCTTAAACCACAAAATTCTGTTCCCTGGTGCAGATCTTGTTGCAACAAGAAAGGTCACAGATCTGAATATCTTGACAGTTTTGCTTCCTTATTGCTATATTTTTATTTCCCTTTACACCCAAAAACTTTGAGGCAGGGTCTATCATTCTGACTTACTTTATTTTATCCTCATAACAACCTTGTGAGGTAGACAAGAGTGGTGTAAACTGGGGAAACTTGCACAAGGAGCTTTGGGACAGTGGAAATCTCCATGGTCCTGATTTAGATTTGCCTCATTGGAACATTTCAATCTATCTATCTATAGCAGGGGTCCTCAAACTTTTTAAACAGAGGGCCAGGTCACAGTCCCTCAAACTGTTGGCGGGCCAGATTATAGTTCGAAAAAAACATGAATGAATTTCTATGCACACTGCACATAGCTTATTTGTAGTACAAAAACATTTWAAAACAATGCAATAATTAAAATTACGAACAATTTTAACAAATATAAATTTATTAGTATTTCARTGGAAAGTGTGGCCCTGCTTTTGGTTGATGAGATAGGATTGTTGTTATTATTGTGTGCTTTGAAGTAGTTTCATACTTAGGTTGACTCTGAGCGAGGGCCGGGTAAATGACCTTGGAGGGCCGCATCYGGCCCCCGGGCCTTAGTTTGAGGACCTCTGATCTATAATAAGGTAAAGGTTTTCCCTGAACTTAAGTCCAGTCATGTCTGACTCTGGGGGTTGGTGCTCATCTCCATTTCTAAGCTGAAGAGCCGGCGTTGTCCGTAGACACCTCCAAGGTCATGTGGCCAGCATGACTGCATGGAGCRCCATGGGAAAGGGAACAGGAAATAGGGCAGTACGCTATTTTGTCTACAAATAAATAAAACTTTCCTCCTTTTGACAAAATCAACAGTTCAATTACTCAACTTGGCCTTGGCCTTTGGTCCCCAGGAATACTGCTGTCATTCCAGAAACTAAAATTGAATAAACAAACCCAAAGTTTGTCAATTTCCTTGCTCTAATCTACAACCTTCCCTCAAAACTCCATGACTGCATGGAGCACCGTTACCTCCCCACCGGAGCACTACCTATTGATCTACTCACATTTGCGTGTTTTTGAATTGCTAAGTTGGCAGAAGCTGGGGCTAACAGGGGAAGCTTACATCGCTCCCCGGATTCGAACATGCAACCTTTCAGTTAGCAAGTTTAGCAGCTCAGTGGTTTAACCCACTGTGCCACCATACATACATACATACATACATACATACATCTATAGTATACACAATGTGTATGTGTCTGTGGCACGGGTGTTGGCTTACAAAGACTAGAGTTCCACCTCAACAAACAGCTATAGATCCCACTAAGCAGGAGGCACCTATGTCCCTCCCTCAAAGGACATTGCAGGTTATAGAGAGTGCCATGAACATGTCCTAAAGCCCTGCCAATGTCCTCCACGAACACCATACTGCAGTGAAGGCTTTCAAATGGGGACAATTTCCTCCTGGATTTTCTGTTTTTCTCCATCAAAGACACCTCCCAGTATTCCTTTCTCTCTCCACTGGTGTGAAATTTGCCTGACCCCACCCACTGCCTTTCCCTTAACCATTTCCTATGGCACACAGCAAACAGAGAAATTGATCAGCAACTTAACATTCTGGAGGACAGGCATGGCCAAACTTTCTAATGGCCAAACTTGGTACAGAGAAGCTCAATGACCAAGTTAACATACTGCAGGGGTTTGTGGGAAGTTGCGGATTTTGGGAGCTGTAGTTCACCCTCATCCAGAGAGCACTGAACCCAGGCAACGTCGGATCTGGAATAAACTTTGCACACAGACCCAACATGACCAACTGTTCATACAGGCCTGGTTTAGGGAGGATTGACCCACAATTCTGGGAATTGTAGTTCATCCACATAGTTATGTATTTTCTACTGGGAGCATTCATAACAAACAAAATCAAAGACTGACTTTTTCCTAATAAATACTGTTACTAATTAACTAAATGATATTACCTAACACCCAAAACAAACAATCCCTTTTTCAAATAACCCAGGCACCACCGGGTGCCCAAGATAGTCATCGAATAAAAAAAAAAACTTGCCTTGTATATAATCTGTGCATTATTGTTGGTATTTTTTTCTGTGCCTCCAAAGCTTGAGAGGCCACAAATATAGGAAAGGATTAAGGGGCAGCAAATCTGTAACTGAACATCCCATCCATACATTTAGATCATGTTTCGACAGAGTTTGAAAACTGAGGCTGGCAATGGGTGCGTCTACACCATGGGTCCTCAAACTAAGGCCCAAGGACCGGATACGGCCCTCCAAGGTCATTCACCTGGCCCTCGCTCAGGGTCAATCTAAGTCTGAAACAACTTGAAAGCACACACAAACAACAACAATCCTATCTCATCAGCCAAAAGCAGGCCCACACTTCCCATTGAAATACTAATAAGTTTATATTTGTTAAAATTGTTCTTCATTTTAATTGTATTGTTTTTAAGCGTTTTTTGCACTACAAATAAGGTATGTGCAGTGTGCATAGAAATTCATTCACGTCTTTTTCAAATTATAATCTGGCCCTCCAACAGTTTGAAGGACTGTAACCTGGTCCTCTGTTTAAAAAGTTTAATGGCCATGACTCAATGCTATGGGATTATGGGAATTGTAGTTTTACAGCATCCTCAATCTTCTCTGTGTTAGAGTGCTGGTGCCATGCCAAACTACAAATCCCATGGTTCCACTTCTTGAGCCACAGCACACCATGGCTCCGGCCCAGTGTACCTGTCCGAACGTATCTCCTTCTACGTCCCGCCTAGGAATTTAAGATCTTCTGGAGGGGCCCTGCTCTCGGCTCCACCCTTGTCACAAACGAGATTGGCGGGGATGAGGGACAGGGCCTTCTCGGTGGTGGCCCCCTGCCTGTGGAATTCACTCCCCGGGGAAATTAGATCATCGTCCTCCTCTCTTTCAGAAGGAAATTAAAAACATGGATATGGGACCAGGCCTTTGGGTAATCTGGCAGACTGACAAGGACAATGACGACTAAAGCTTTGGAAACGGACTATGATAAGCGGAATGAATTTATTAATTACGGACTTAGCAAAACGATGGCCACCAGGCTGGCTTTTTATTGTATTTTTATTGTATTAAAGTAATGTTTTAACTGGTATAATTTATTGTTACTATGTATTTTACTGTGTGAATTGTAGGCATCAACGTATGCCAGTTGGAAGCCGCCCTGAGTCCCCCTTCGGGGGTTGAGAAGGGCGGGGTAGAAATACCTGAAATAAATAAATAAAGTGGTGACAAACTGCTAAATAAATGCACACCATGTTAAATGGGGGATTCAAAGAGTTATATCTGAAAATTCCCCAAACTTCACTTTTGGACTCTTCTTCTGTACCTCAAAACCAAGTTGCGGAGTAATTGCAGAGAAAATATTTTCACGTCTGGAACGTCTTCCCCAGGAAGGTTTGCTTGGCATCTGCTCATATCTTTCTGACACAAAGTGAGGCTAGTTGCAATTCTACTAGTACTAATAACATTATTTTAAAATGGAAGAGGAGGTTTTGGGATTTATTCCATTGCTGCAGGCCCTCTATTTGTCTTATTAGTGCTTCACCATTTTGCTATTATGGACTTATAATTAATTAGCCATCCAAGAAAAAATATAATGCAAACATACAGCAAATATTGGCTCTGCAGATGGAGGTAACTCACAAAGGCCTTTTGCTAATCCCTACTAGGATAGAACAGGTATGGGCCAAGTTAGACTCACCGGGTGTTTTGGACTTCAACTCCAAAACACCTGGAGAGTTGAAGTTTGGCCATGCCAAACTGACGGAGATTTTACTATGGGTTGACTCATTATTGTCGAAGGCTTTCATGGCTGGAATCACTAGGTTCTTGTGGGTTTTTTCGGGCTATAGGGCCATGTTCTAGAGGCATTTCTCCTGACGTTTCGCCTGCATCTATGGCAAGCATCCTCAGAGGTAGTGAGGTCTGTTGGAATTAGGACAATGGGTTTATATATCTGTGGAATGGCTGGGGTGGGGCAAGGAGCTCTTCCCTGCTGGAGCTAGGTGTGAATGTTTCAACTGACCACCTTCATTAGCATTTGAAGGCCTGGCTGAGTCTGGGAAAATCCCCTGTTGAGAGGTGTTAAGATGTGCCTGGTTGTTTCCTCTCTGCTGTTTTGCTGTTGTAATTTTAGAGTTTTTTAATACTGGTAGCCAGATTTTGTTCATTTTCATGGTCTCCTCCTTTCTGTTGAAATTGTCCACATGCTTGTGGATTTCAATGGCTTCTTAACACCTCTCAACAGGGGATTTTCCCAGACTCAGCCAGGCCTTCAAATGCTAATGAAGGTGGTCAGTTGAAACATTCACACCTAGCTCTAGCAGGGAAGAGCTCCTTGCCCCACCCCAGCCATTCTACAGATATATAAACCCATTGTCCTAATTCCAACAGACCTCACTACCTCTGAGGATGCTTGCCATAGATGCAGGCGAAACGTCAGGAGAAAATGCCTCTAGAACATGGCCCTATAGCCCGAAAAACCCCACAAGAACCTAGTGACTCTTTATTCATCAGTTGATATACTCGTTGGGACCAACCAAAAGAATTCTAACCACAGTATCTTTCCTTCCAAAACCTCTGGGTTTTTCTCCTTTTTGGCCCAGGAAAGTACAAAAAAAATGCTGAGTTTTAAGATTCCACTGCATTGATCCATAACAGTTAAAGTGGTACAAAACTGCATTAATTCTACAGTGTAGAATTCTCTCTTCCCTTATGGATGCCACGTGCTTTCCCCTGCCTGGCTTTTCCAGTCTCCTATTTCCGCCACTCTCAGAGCCGACGCTCATTGGCTTTTACTTACTCATGGCAGCCAGCACCAATTGGCCAGTCAGACACCCTTCTCGCTTATGATTGGCTAATAGGATAAGAAGGCGGGTCCTTTCCAGGCGGTATATAAGCAGCCTCCTTGGCGCTTCCACTTCCTTTGGACAGTGATCGCGGGAGGTGGAGGGAGGTAAGGTGTTTGTATGTTGCCTGTAGGGCTTGGACTTGGAGGGAAAGTACGACAACGAAATATAGAGGCCGCGAGAGTAGAAGGCGGTAGAAAACACCGCTTTTAGATGACTGCTGACGGAAACATTGTCGCGGCTGCACATGGGCTCACAAAGAAGGAGCCTCCATTTGCAACTCGTGTCTTGCGCATGCGCGGGTTGTAGGCCCGAGAGTAGCGCATGCGCAGCTGTCGCCGAACGCTGTAAGGTCGCTTTCTTGGTGGAGGTTGAGTAGGCCTCGTTTGCTTAATTGGAGTTGGGTGCTTTTGCTTTACTCATAGAACCAGAGAGTTGGAAGAGACCTCATGGGCCATCCAGTCCAACCCCCTGCCAAGAAGCAGGAATATTGCATTCAAATCACTCCTGACAGATGGCCATTCAGCCTCTGTTTAAAAGCTTCCAAAGAAGGAGCCTCCACCACACTCTGGGGCAGAGAGTTCCACTGCTGAACGGCTCTCACAGTCAGACGGATACATTGTCTTAGTGCCTTGGTTTGTTAGGGATATAGATTTATCTATTAGGGAGAAACCCTAACTTGTGTGTATATATATGTATGCATGTGTATATAGATAATCTGCCTGTGGAATACCTTTTTAGAATTTTCGTTTGACAATAATTCCCTTGGCCTTTGGGAATGATGGCTGGGGATGATGAGAGTTGTACTCCCCAAAATGTTTAATTGGCACGAAATGTTTGGAGTCTGCATTTCTGGAAGATTGGACATTCTGGATAATGATAATAAATATTCATTATTTATTTATTTATTACGGCATTTATTTGCCGCTCTTCTCTTGCCAAAGGGGACTCAGAGTGGCTTACAAGTAAAAAGTAAATACAATATATGATATTATTGACTGTGAGAGCCGTTCAGCAGTGGAACTCTCTGCCCCGGAGTGTGGTGGAGGCTCCTTCTTTGGAAGCTTTTAAATAGAGGCTGGATGGCCTTCTGTCAGGGGTGATTTGAATCCAATATTCCTGCTTCTTGGCAGGCGGTTGGACCGGTGGCGCAGTGGGTTAAAGCCCTGTGCTGGTAGGACTGAAGACCGACAGCTCGCAGATTCAAATCCGGGGAGATGCGGATGAGCTCCCTCTATCAGCTCCAGCTCCTCATCCAGGGACATGAGAGAAGCCTCCCACAAGGATGATAAAAACATCAAATCATCCGGGCGTCCCCTGGGCAACATCATTGCAGACGGCCAATTCTCTCACACCAGTTTCTCAAGTCACTTCTAACACAACAAAAAAAGTAGTAATATTACATCTATATAAATAAAAATGTAATGTTCTTTGTCCTTAATGTAAATGTAATGTTCGTTTGTGGGATTAACAGAACTCAAAAACCACTGGACGAATTGACACCAAATTTGGACATGACACCTAACAACCCAATGTATGCCCTTCACTAAAAAAAAAATTGATTTTGTCATTTGGGATTTGTAGTTGCTGGGATTTATAGTTCACCTACAATCAAAGAGCATTCTGAACTTCTCTAACAATGGGATTGAACCAAACTTGCCACATAGGACTTCCAAGACCAACAGAAAATAGTAGCAGGATTTGGTGGGCGTTGACCTTGAGTTTTGGAGTTGTAGTTCACCTCCATCCAGAGAGCACTGTGGACTCAAACAATGATGGATCTGGACCAAACTCTACACGAATACTCCAAATGCCCAAATATGAACACAGATGGAGTTTGGGGAAAATAGACCTTGTTTAATATAAAATATATAATTATGATATCATTGTATTAGTAGTAGTAATATATTATCAATATATGTATATACATTAGATTAGATTATAAGCACAGTGCAGGAGACAAGATGGAACTGCCTTCCTGACCCCTCTCTTCACTCTGATCTCAGAGCAGCGGTTGGTGCTGGGGGGGGGTCTCAACTGATGACACTGGAGGCAAGATGGAACGGCCTTCATGGCCCCTCTATTTACCCTCACTGCTCAAGGTGGTCTACAACATAGTCTAAGCACACCATCATCAAATGCATATAATAAAATACATATTTTAAGTTAGATTACATTTCCATAAAATATATTAATGTGCATGGTACAAAGATTAAAATGCAGTAGCAATTTAAAATTCATGCATGGAAATTGACTGGGTATGCTAATTAGGTGTGACTGATACTTACTATATTTATACCCCACTTTTGTCTTTTGATTGAGACCCAAAACTGCTAAAGTGTATGTTGAGCTATAAGTGCATTCAGCTCTCCATATCAACAGATTCAGCCATCTCAGAAGAAAACCTTGATTTTGCCATTTTATGTAAGGAATGACATTGTATGTAATATGACTTGAGAGTCCATAGATTTTTGTATCCGTTGGGGGAGCAGTCCAGGAACTAAATCTTGACAGATTCCAGAGACCACTGGACATTTTAAGGGAACAAATGTATTTTTATCTCGAAAATCTTCAATTCACTGCCTTAAATAAATACAGCAGAGGCTATTGCACATTAAATGACTATATATATTATATTGTTAACGTTATATATATATAATGTATACTAAAACTTATATAGTACAATATATTATATTATACAATGCCAAATGCTAAATAGTATTATATACTGGTAGTGTATTGTATATATTGTAAGGTAATGTAATATAGTACAATGTAATATATATAATTATATATTACATGTAATACTAATATTGCAGTATAGTGATATAGTACGATATAGTAATATATAATACTAATGTGCTATGCTAATATATTAAATATAATTACTGCCACTTTGAGTCTCCATATGGAGAGATAAAGAGGGATATAAATAATAAATATAAATAAATTAGCACGCAGTGATATTCAGGAGTATGTGGTGGTGGAGCTTTCCAAAATGGACATTTCAATAGATAGAATGTTTAGCTCAGTATGGTTTTTGTTATAGGTAGCAACTTGCTTGATACAAGTATCTTCATTCTCTTAACAGCAGCATTCTTTTTTATTATTATTGAAATACTTTTCTGTGGAGAGTTAATTTTGGCATCATGGCAGCATTGTGTTCTTGAATTTAGTTGTCATTTTCATGATATTGCAGCTCCTGTGACTGTCATGTATTTTTCTCAGGGCATCTGTTCCAAAGGGGCGAAACTTTCCTATCCCTTTATATACCCTCCCTCAGTTAAAATATTTTATAGTTTGGCCATGATAATATGCAGAGTGTGAGTGTATATTTTTGATGTAGCCAATGAACTGCAGATGTCAGAGAAGTGCAAGCCTGAGTCATTGTCATTTTTGAGGAGTGTGTGCCCTTTGTTGTTTTGTTTTTGTCTGAAATACTTTTGTTACTTATATACAATTTTGGCCATTGGGGACTAGAAAGTAGAAAAATATATTATTTAAACTTGTCAGCTTTACAAAAGGTGTAGGTTCCTAGTGTATAGAACAGTTCTTAGATTCATGGGAATCACCTCAATGTAGAAAGGTATTTGCCATTTCAAATAAATATGATATGCAGTGGGAACTGTTGACAGTATATGTGAGAGGCCAGCATTGAGATTACTGTTCAAACTTGAAATTTCTGCTCAACCCAGCATTTATCACAACTTTGGATAGCAGTTGAGAAGCAGAATAAGCATATAGAGCAGTGGTTCTCAACCTGTGGGTCCCCAGGTGTTTTGGCATGCAATTCCCAGAAATCCCGTCCAGTTTACCAGCTATTAGGGTTTCTGGGAGTTGAAGGCCAAAGCATCTGCGGTCCCACAGGTTGAGAACCACTGAGTCTTCATTTACTTCTCTGTTTGTTTGTGCCTGCTTATTTCCTCCATATACTCCATTCCTCCATATACATATCTATTCTTACTCTCTCATCTACAGGGCTGAGCTCTCTCCATTTAGGCCAGAATGCCCGTTGCCAGGAGTTGGGTGTGTCGAAAGACATATGTCACCCCCAGGAGGCCCTTTGAGAAGTCACGACTTGATCAAGAGCTGAAACTCATTGGTAAGTTTCTCTACCTGGGAAAATAATGTTTCATTAAACAGCTGCAGCCTATAGGCAGATGGAGTTCAAATAATAGTTTTGGAGAAGACAACTATTCTAGCCTCCTGTCAGAGCAGGAATTCAACATGAAGCAGTTTTGAGAGAAAGTCATAATTAAAGATGCACAACAGAAAATCTGCTATCTTCCCAAAATAGTCTGTTTTACAGTCAAACAACTCAAACTTTTTTGTCTTTGATCCCAGGTGAATATGGGCTGCGAAACAAACGTGAAGTGTGGCGAGTGAAGTTCACTTTGGCCAAGATCCGCAAAGCTGCCCGTGAGTTGCTCACCTTGGATGAGAAGGATCAGAGACGTCTCTTTGAGGGTAAGTGACCAGGCCTATGTGTGCCAATGTTGATCGTGTTATGATTTCTATTGGGGCTCTCGGTACCTTTCACCAGCAGATTATGCTTTCAGTACTTCAGAGATATCAGATTGTTTTCTTCATAGAAACTGCCAGCTTCTAAAAAGGTTTCTTATCTGTGTCTTAATTCATAACTGTAAGCATAAATTTCCCCCAATGCTTTTAAAAAATGTTTGCATAAAGGAAAATAGAATACAAAGCACTGCTGCCTTCACATAGGTTATCCATTGAGAATATTCCCCCTTGCTTAATTACATACCTGTCAGTGATTTCTTTACAGAAATGGTATAGGTCACCAATGTATTTAAGAAAATTGTTCTATATGCACGTCTGAAATTGAAATGTAAGGCCAGTATTCAAGTTCCTTTTATATTCTTTTTGTACTGTAGTGCTGAAGCAGAACTGCATAATAATTACTGGTTAGAAGAGCCAGCACACTGTGGTGGCTTGAGAAGTGATTCTAGAGACCAAGGTGCAGATCTCTAGTCAGCCATGGAAACCTATTGAATGCCCTTTGGACAAGTCAGAGCCTCAGAGGAAGGCAAAGGCAAACTCAGGTTGAACAAAACTTGCAGAGAAAACCCCTTGATAGGTTCACCTTAGGATCACTATACATTGGAAATGTCAACAAATAACTATTCATGATATTCAGGAGTCAGGCTTTACTCTTCTGTCTGCTAACCTCTTTGTTTGGTCAACCCTTTGAGTATTAAAATAACCATGCAAAAATAATTCTGCATTACCTTTGATAGGTAATTTGATTCCATCAAAGGTTTATAGCTGTATGTTTTAAATCTAATGTGTTCTGTTTGGTGTAAATTAACTTCCTCATTTTGATTGCATGTGTTTCCCCTTTCTTAGGCAATGCTTTGCTGCGGCGTCTGGTCAGGATTGGAGTGCTGGATGAGGGGAAGATGAAACTGGATTACATCCTGGGCTTGAAAATTGAGGATTTCTTGGAAAGGCGTCTTCAGACTCAGGTCTTCAAACTGGGCCTGGCCAAATCAATCCACCATGCCCGGGTGCTCATCCGCCAGAGACACATCCGGTATGCGATTGTGGGTTTGAGCTAATGGGAGAGTTGCTTTCGGTTGCATAAGTGAAGTTGCCTCTGCAATAATTGTTGTGATGTCTTTTTGTGTGTAGCCTGTGCCAGGAGCTGTGTGACAGTCTCCCAGCAGTATTGCTATTTACATTACCAACCCTTTCCCTGGATTGGAATCCTGGATAACTCTGTAGCCTTTCAACCCAAGTAGAGACCGCGTTCCAAACAAAACTGCCAAAGTTTTCGGCAAGGCTCACTGCGGCTCAGCCGTACACCTTGCGAAGGTCTTGCTTACATGAGCAGTGAAGGTAACAGCTCTAGTCTTGGGCTCCTTTTCAACACAAAGTCCTGATGTAATCCCTCTTAGCAGCCTGCCTGTTACTTAAAACTCTCATGAATTTAGGTCAGTAGTGGGCAACTACAGTGGGTCTAGGAGCCTGTTTTTTCATCAGGGGGCAGCAGAGTGCAAAAAACTAGGCTTCCAAATCAAGATGCATACAGAAGTTCTTTTCTGTTGTTGTTTTTTGTTTGTTTGTTTTTTTACTGTTACTGTTATACTTCTGGGGGAAAAAATCTACTAAAAGCTGTTTTTCTGAAGAGATCAGGAACCACAATATCATTGACTCCGTATGGCCCCAGACTACTTCATGTCTACCTCAACTGTGTGTTTCATGCTGCAAGAATTAACAGAAAATGTCAAACTAAAATTAGGTTTTTCCAACACTTGGATCACAGTTGCTTAGTTTTGAAAGTTCCATAATCCGTTTTGTGAGTAAAAGGCTGTAGGGCTTTAAATTGCAGCTCATAGGTATGTTTTTCTAAAGGTGAAGGCTGTTTTCTAAGTGTTTTTTTAGCTCTAAGGAGTTCCTGAAATTTTTACTGCAGTTTCTTGTCAGCCCCTGTCCAGTGATCCAGAAGTTTAGGAATTGGATCCAGAAAACTTAGAGAGCTCCAGGGTGGGGGACCCACAGGTTGAGAACCACTGCCTTAAACAAACCTTATAATGATACCGTGGTGGATTTTAACTGTCTGTGACATCTAATCACCTCTCAACAAAAGATTGCCCCAGGCACTGCCAGGCCATCAAATGCTAATCAAAGTGGTCAGTTGAAGCATTCACACCTAGCTCCAGCAGACACGAGTCCTTTGTCCCACCCTGGTCATTCCACAGATATATAAACCCTTTTTCTTAGTTCCAACTAACCTCACTACCTCTTAAGGAAGCTTGCCATAGATGCAGGTGAAATGTCAGCAGAGAATGCCTCTAGAACAGTGGTTCTCAACCTGTGGGTCCCCAGATGTTTTGGCCTTCAACTCCCAGAAATCCTAACAGCTGGTAAACTGGCTGGGATTTCTGGGAGTTGTAGGCCAAAACACCTGGGGACCCACAGGTTGAGAACCACTGCTCTAGAACATGGCCATATAGCCCAAAAAAACCTACAACAGCCCAGTTTTAACAGCTAGTTGGTGGGAGCAGTAGATCTTAAACTCAGAAAAATAAACTGGATTTAACTGAAACCGTACTGCAGTAAAATAATTTATACAAGAGTAGTTTCATTCTCACTTCATAGAATCAGAGTTGCAGCCTTGCGCTTTGTCCCATGCCCTCTTCACGTGGTTACATCGTTGCACTTCTCGTATTCCCAGTTCGATCGCTTGCCCCATTGGAAATGGGTGCTGTTTATAATTGAATGTTAGTTGTTTCATGCTTATATGTATTTTTATTGTGTATTTAAATTGTTTTCATTTTATGGTTTGTTTTTAGACACCTTGTACCATGTCTAAGCTACCTCAAGTCCCTTCGGGGAGATGGCCGTGGGTTACAAGAATAAAATAGTAGTAGTCGTTATTATTGGAAAAGACCTCCAAGGGTCATGTAGTCCAACCCCCTGCCATACAGGAAAAGCACAAACAAAGCACCCCAACAGATGACCATCCAGGCTCTGTTTAAACATCTCCCAAAAAGGACCGCCCCACACACATACATACTGAGGCAGTGAGTTCCATTGTTGAATTGCTCTTACAGTCAGGAAGTTCATCTGTAACCATTATTTCTCCATCATTCTTTCCTCAGTGTGAGAAAGCAAGTGGTGAACATCCCTTCATTCATTGTTCGCCTGGATTCTCAAAAGCATATCGACTTCTCTCTCCGCTCTCCATATGGTGGTGGCAGACCAGGCCGTGTCAAGAGAAAGAATGCCAAGAAGGGCCAGGCCGGTGCTGGTGGTGGAGATGATGAAGAGGAAGATTGAGCTGCGAGGTTCATCTTGCCCTAGTCGCACAGACTGGGGGGAATTCAGCCTGGTTTATTGTAACATCACACAATAAACATATTTTTCAATCTCATACTGTAGTCCTCATGCTGTCAAAGACACTGGAATGATTTCATGGTCATGGGCAAACCGTCTCTTACATTGTATTTTCTGAATGAAAGCCTCCTTGCATTTTGGAACACATTTTGTTTATTCGTTCAGTCGCTTCTGACTCCTTGTGACCTCATGGACCAGCGCATGCCAGAGCTTCCTGTTGGCCGTCACCTCCCCCAGCTCCTTCAGAGTCAAGCCAGTCACTTCAAGTATACCATCCATCCGTGTTGCCCTTGGTCGGCCCCTCTTCCTTTTTCCTTCCGCTTTCCCCAGCATCATTGTCTTCTCTTAAGTTCTCCTGTCTCCTCATGATGTGGCCAAAGTACTTCAACTTTGCCTTTAATATCCTTCCCTCCAGTGAGTAGTGGGGAATTATTTCCTCACATATCGACTGGTTGGATTTTCTTGTGGTCCAAGGCACTCAAATTTCCTCCAACACCACAGTTCAAAAGCATCTATCTTCCTTCGCTCAGCCTTCCTTATGGTCCAGCTCTCACATCCGTAGGTTACTACGAGGAATATTATTGCTTTAATTATGCAGATCTTTGTTCCCAGTGTGATGTGTCTACTCTTCACTGTTTTATCAAGATTGGTTATTGCTCTCTTCCCGAGAAGTAAGCATCTTCTGATTTCCTGGCTGCAGTCTGCATCTGCAGTAATCTTTGCACCTAGAAATACAAAGTCTCTCACTGCCTCCATGTTTTCCCCCTCTATTTGCCAGTTATCAATCAATCTTGTTGCCATAATCTTGTTTTTTTTATGTTTAACTGCAACCCAGCTTTTGCACTTTCTTCTTTCACTTTGGTTAGAAGGCTCCTCAGCTCCTCCTTGCTTTCAGCCATCAAAGTGGTATCATCTGCATACCTAAAACTGTTAATGTTTCTTCCAACAGTTTTAACTCCAGCCCCGCATATTACATGATGTGTTCTGCATACAAGTTGAATAGGGAGGGTGAGAGTAGACAGCCATACCGTACACCTTTTTGGGACACATGTTGCTGCATAAACACAAAGGAAGGCCTTGGAGCAGAAATCCTCCAAAACAGATACAGGATAATTATGTGATCGAGGTAGAGGAGGTAGTTAACCAGGGCACTCGGGGCATGCATCTATATTCATGGACACACTCTATAGGAAGTAGTGAACTCCAGTTTACCCAGAACACAAACAATTTCAGGAATCTTTCTTCCCCCTCTGCCCCTCCCTGCCTTTCCTTTTTAGTTTGCTGGCTCTGATTTCCTGAAATGAAATGAATGAACAGAGGCTGTTTCCAGTGCCCTCTGGGGTCATTATTCCCTCGGCCTTTGATACTACTTCCCTTGTTTTGCTGTCTAATCCCATGTGCAATTCTTACTGGAATTAACGTATGCAGGCAAATAGCTGTATGCAGCCATTTTCTCTAGTAGGTAAAAGGTTTCTTTTTGAATGTGGGTTGTGAATTTTCTGGGCTGTATGGCCATGTTCCAGAAGCATTCTTTCCTGACGTTTCGCCCGCATCTATGGCAAGCCTCAGATTGTGAGGTCTGCGGAAAACTAGGGAAAAAGGGGTTTATATATCTATAGAAGGTCTAGGATGGGAGAAAGAACTCTAGTCTGTTTGAGGTAGGTATGAACGTAGCAATTGGCCACCTTGATTAGCATTTCATGGCCAAGCAGTTTTCAGGGTTTGGCTTCTTAACTGCCTGGGGGAATCCTTTGTTGGGAGGTGATTACCTAACCCTGAATTGTTTCCACTGGACCACTAACTGCAGACTACTTCAACCAGAGAAATCAGCCTTAGCAGAGCACAAAATGAACCAACCTGGACACAGCATATTATTTGAGAACACAGAAATGCTGGACTGCTCTAACAAGCACACAGAGAAGCCATTGAAATCCAAAAGCACGTGGACCATTTCAAAGACGAAACCATGAAAATGAACAAAATCTGGCTACCAGTATTAAAAAAAACCTAAAATTATAACATTAAATAAAGAACACTACTAAAAATAACTGGGACTTCCAGACAAACAATCAAGGCCAGCTAATCACCTCCCAACAAAGGATTCCCCCAGGCAGTAAGAAGCCGACCTTGAAAACTGCTTGGCCATTAAATGCTACTCGGTATTTTTTATTTATTGTGTCAGGAGCAGACCAAACAGTTATGTTGCATTTTTTAACAAACAAACAAAACACAAAGTTTGCAAGCTTGGTGGTTGATTAAATGTCCTTTGACCAGTATCTGGCCACTTGGAGTGCTTCTGGTGTTGTTGCAAGAAGGTCCTCCATTGTGCATGTGGCAGGTTGCATTGCAGCAGGTGCTCTGTAGTTTGGTCTTCCCCACTCGCATGTCGTGGATTCCACTTTGTAGCCCCATTTCTTAAGGTTGGCTCTGCATCTTGTGGTGCCAGAGTGCAGTCTGTTCAGCGCCTTCCAAGCCCAGTTTTCTGTGTGCCCGGGGGGAGTTTCTCATTTGGTATCACCCATTGATTGAGGTTCTGGGTTTGAGCCTGCCACTTTTGGGCTCCCGCTTGTTGAGGTGTTCCAGCGAGTGTCTCTGTAGATCTTAGAAAACTATTTCTTGATGCAGGTGAAAAGTCAGGAGAGAATGCTTCTGGAACATGACCATACAACTCACAACAACCCAGGAACAGTTTTTTGTGTGTGTCAGGAGAGAATGCTGCAAGTTGTGAAACTGCAAGTTGCTTTTGATGTGAGAGAATTGGCCGTCCGCAAGGACATTGCCCAGGGGATGCCCAGATGTTTTCACCATCCTTGTGGGAGGCTTCTCTCATGTCCCCACATGGGGAGCTGGAGCTGACAGAGGGAGCTCATCTGTGCTCTCCCTGGATTTGAACCTCCAACCTATCGGTCTTCAGTCCTGCTGGCACAAGGGTTTAAACCCATTGCACTACCAGGTGCCAGGAACGGATGGCAGATGGAATCAGTGAGGAGGAATTTGGGATCAGTTGCAGAATTAAACCTCAATAGCCACCAACTTTGTCCACCCAATTTTTACATGATGACTTTAAAGAAGCCCCACAAGCAACCAGCAGTTGAAATAAAATTGGCCTTCGAAGTTGAATCCGAGCAGCTTAGAGCTCTCAGGTCACCTAGCCCTGGAGAGAAATTGGCAGGGATTCTCAGCAGTTTCCAGGAAGACATCTGGCTCATCAACAAGAAATCCGGTACCTTTAACCCAAGAGTAAGATTGAAATCAGACTAGTCACTGCAATTGATTTAAGCTCCTTAGTGCTGCAGGGAGGAAGGACTTGAAAGCAGGGGCTTTAAAAAGGTGCTTTTTAACCCTTCAATGGCTTTAAAATGTGCTCCATTAGAAGTAGGAAAAAGATGACAATTCATCTTGAGTATGGGAAATTAATCATAGGAGGCTTCCTAGTGAAGTGCTTCAGCTGGGGTTGAAAGTACTGCATAGCTAAGAGGTAATTTGTGTGTTTCCATATAGTAACAGCGCTCATGCAGTCATGCTGGCCACATGACCTTGGAGGTGTCTATAGACAACGCCGGCTCTTCCACTTAGAAATGGAGATGAGTAACAACCCCCAGAGTTGGACACGACTGGACTTAATGTCAGGGGAAAACCTTTACTTATATAGTACAGACTGCAACTCCCATTTTGCCAGCATAATGTGATTCCGAGTTGGAGCACAGCAACTATTGTCCTTGCAAAGCGCAACATAGAAGTAAGAACTTTACTAATATTTTGTACCACTGTCAAAAGGCCCCAAACAGGCCTGTGACTCCCTTGTTATTTGTTAAACTCTGCAATATGTGTTTGAAAATGTCAGGCTTTCACCAAAAAATATGCACAAACCCCTCTGGATACAGCATAAAAGCTGAGTTCATAATTTCCTTTGCCTCAAAGTATTTTTTCTGTAACTGATTTCCCAAGTCAGCAAACTTTAAAGTGTCAAGTTACGGGAATGACCCCAAGTGAGAGCATTGACTGGAAAGTGGTGGCGGCGTGGTGGTCAAACATGAATGGTAAGTCTGCAGCAAAGGAATCGGCGGCTCATATATACCAGATTGCTTGCAGAAAATCAGATGCCTTTGTTGTGTAAAGTTTTGTTATTGTGTGCTTTCAAGTCATTTCTGAACACTGGTGGTGTTTTCTTTGGCGGAATTTGTTCAGAGAGGGTTTGCCTTTGCCTTTCTCAGGCTGAGTGTTGCTGGCCCAAAGTCAACCAGGGCTGTTTGATAGGACAGTACTGTTAGTTAGTAATGACAACTCTTATGTGCACCCAAATATAGCTGTGGTTCTGGCTCTGAGTTTATCTTTTTGCAGTAGTTGGAAAGATGCAACTGTGTTTGATGGGTGGGGTTTAAAAAAATCGTGTTAGAAGCGATTTGAGAATTTGCAAGTCGCTTCTGGTGTGAGAGAATTGGCTGTCTGCAGAGACGTTGCCCAGAGGATGCCCGGATGTGTTACCATGCTTCTTTCATGTTCACTGAATGGGAAGCTGGAGCTGACAGATGGCAGCTCACCGCATCTTGCAGATTCGAACTGCCAGCCCTCAAGTTAGCAGTTCAGCTGGCACAAGGATTTAATCCATTGCACACTGCAACTCCCATGATGGGACTTGCAATCCAGTGATATAGGGAGGGTCACTTTGCCTAGTTTTTGTACTGAAATTGGAATGAGGCTGTAACTTGGCAGCAAAGCAATGTTTTTTCTAAGTTAAAGGTTTCAGGCAGGGCATCTACACTGTAGAATTAATGCAGGTTGACACCACTTTCATTGCCATGGCTGTGAAACCATGGGGATTGCAATTTTACAAAGTCTTTGCCTATTCTACCAAAGAGGACTGGTGCTTCAACAAACTGCAAATCCTGGGATTCCACAGCATTGAACAGTGATGGATTTAACCCAGGCATCCTCAAACTGTGGGATATTCCCTCCAGCTGTTTGGGCCTCCAATTCCCAGAAGTCCTAACAAACTTGTTCAATTGTCAGGAATTCTGGAAGTTGAGGGCCGCAGTTTGAGGATGCCTGGTTTAACCCATTGCACCACCTTGGCTCCTTTTGATCAGTGGTGGACACTGGCCCTTCATATTTCTTGGACCATCACTCCCATAATCCCCCAACCATTGGCTACAGTGGAAACCCAAAACATGGAGAGACACATTCCACATGCTGTGGCTTGAAAGACTAAATGAAATAGGAGACTTCTGCATCATAAAGCGACCCCACTTCTGTGTCCCACCTCCCAGCATTGAGTTATTTAGGATCCAAAATAGAGTTGAAAGCAATTATCTAGATTTGAAAAAATAACCAGTTGGTTTCAGAATATCCCAGTTGCTTTATTCTACGAAAAACAATAGGATATCCTCAATATTACACTGTGGGCTGCCAGTCCTGTCCTTGTATTGTGCAGAGAATATTTAGGAGGAAAGACTCCACCTGCATTTCCAGGCCTTAGAGGAGGCCTCCTCACCGCCCTCCTTCCATATCCCTTCTGTCCCATTCAGCTGCATAGTGAGTTCAACAATCCCTGGGGTACCGGTAGCCCTTGCAAGCGAGCCCTGAGGTCCCCTCTGCCCTGAACATTGGTTCGCACGGCCCGGCGGCACAATTCCTGGAGCGTGGGCACTTTGCACCGGAGCGGCTGAGTGAGGGCCAAAGGCACGGGCGGTTGTCCCTCCCTCTCCAGGTAGCAGGGTCCTCCATCGACGGCCCCCAGGCAGAGGTAATGTTCCACCAACTGGACCACGCAGCGGAAAGCGGGAGGATGGCCAGCCCCAGGCAGGGCCTCCAGGTGGAAGGTTGAGCCCTGTTGCTGGATGCGCAGGTTAGTGATGCCCGTGGTGGTGCGGACGCTCAGGGTAAAGAGGTGGTGGTGGTCCGAGGAGTCCCGCACCAGGAAGACCCCAGGCAGCTGTGAGGTTAAGAGCTGCTTGGCTTCTGCTCCGGACAAGCTGCCCCAGTAATATCCACTGGCCTCCAAGCGTTCCAGGGCACTTTCCACCCGCTCAAATTCCCCGCAGAAACTCTTGAAGTGGTAGGAAGTGGTGGCCGCGCCACTCATGGCCGCCACAGCTGGGGCAGGTGCCGACGGGCAGCACCAGCACAGGGGGACCATTGCGCCTCCAGTTGGCCCAGAAAGATCTTGCTTGGCTACCGTAGCGGCATCTGAAACAGGAAGGCAGAAACGGATCACACACCAGAGAGACCATGCCTACTATCTTTTTTGACACCAGAAGACAGACAAGACTTCTCTTTTCAACCCTCCAGAGTCTCCTGTGTTTCATCTAGGACAGTGTTTCTCAACCTTCCTAATGCCGTGACCCCTTAATACAGTTCTATAAGTTGTGGTGACCCCCAACCATAACATTCGTTGCTATGTCACAACTGAAATTTTGCTACTGTTATGAATCATATTGTAAATATCTGATATGCAGGATGTATTTTCATTCACTGAACCCAATTTATTTATTTATTTACAATATTTATATTTCAAACTTCTCAGCCTGCAGGGGACTCAGGGTGGATTACAATGTACATATACATGGCAAACATTCAAAGCCATAAACACACAACATATATAGATAGATACACAGAGGCTATTTAACATCCCAGCTTTTCATGAAGGTATTTTGGCCACCAGGGGAGCTGTTCCTCCACCGTGTATTTGTGACACTGATGAAGTACTTCCTCATTCTTTGCATACTTGCTGGAGATTTTTATGGCATCATAAATTAGTTAAATTAGCCTCCCCGCATAAGTGGTACCTAAATTTCCTACTTGACAGATGCAACTGTCTTTTGGGCTGCAGAGGTTGACAGGAAATTGGTCGGAAACTCACTCTGACCCAGGCTGGTTTCGAATTCATGACCTTACGGTCAGTAGTGATCTTAATGCAGCTGATTCCCATCCAGCTGCGCCAAAATGTGTCCGAATTTGAATACTAGTGGGGTTTTGGGGGGGGGGGGGCTGAGGGAGGGATTGATCTTGTCATTTGGGAATTGTAGTTGCTGGGATTTATAGTTCACCTACAATCAAAGAGCATTCTGAACTCCATCAACAATGAAATTGAACCTAATTTGGAACACAGAACTCCCATAACCAAGAGAAAATACTGAAAGTATTTGGTGGGCATTGATCTTGAGTTTTGGAGGTGTAGTTCACCTATATCCATAGAGCACCGTGGCCCCAGACAATGATGGATCTGGCCCGAACTTGGCATGGATATTCAATATGCCCAAATGTGAACAATGCTGGAGTTTGGGGAAAATAGACCGTGATATTTGGGAGTTGTCGTTGCTCAGATTTAGTCTACAATCAAAGAGCATTCTGAACCCCACCAACAATAGAATTGGGCCAAACTTCCCACACAGAACCCCCATGACTGATGGTCTTGGCAACCCCTCTGAAACCCCCTTAATGTCATTCCAGGGGTCCTGACCCCCAGGTTGAGAAACGTTGATCTAGGATATGCCAATACAGTCAGGAAATTAAATTATTCATAGTTGAATCGTTATGTTAAAAGACATACCACAGCTTTTCATTTGTTTCCTGTGTTGGTGAATTTGGAGATGAGCACTACCTGCAACATCTGATGCAGAGTCCAAAGTTGGAGAGCAGGGTCGGAAAATACATTAGTAATATAATACAGACTCCTGAAGAGATCCTGTTTTAGTCAGACCCACAAGCTGACACTGCTTGCCAGAGCATGCTGCCATGGGGCTTTCAGCTTCTTACAAAGAGCCTGACCTTTGTGATTCAGAACCTGACTGACCCCAGCAAGCTCAGCTTTTTTACAGCTTTTGCAACAGACTCAGTGAAAGTGACACTCAGCAAAACAAAGTGACTGGATTTCACAGTAAAAAGGCAATTATTTGTAAACAATGTACTGCTCAAGACCAAAACTTAGAAAAGTTACTTTTGGAAACTATACTTCACAAGGGTTTTTGTGTGTGTGTGTCAGGGTTGACTCGAGAAACTTGCTTCTGCTGTGAGAGAATTGGCCGTCTGCAAGGATGTTGCCCAGGGGACGGCTGGATGTTTTACCATCCTGTGGGAGACTTCTCTCATGTCCCTGAATAGGAAGCTGGAGCTGACAGACAGAAGCTTACCCAGTTCCCCAGATTCGAATCGCCAACCTTTCGGTCAGCAGCCCTGCCGGCACAAGGGTTTAACCCAGAGATTCTCAACCTTCCTAATACTGCAAACCCTTAATACAGTTCCTCATGTTGTGGTGACTCCCAACCATAACATTATTCTCGTTGCTACTTCATAACTGTAATTTTGCTACTGTTATTAATCATCATGTAAATATCTGATATGCAGGATGTATTTTCATTATGTGTACCAAATTTGCACAAATACTCGATACACAAAATTTGAGTACTGGTGGGGTTGTGGGGGTGTCGTTGATTTTGTCATTTGGGAGTTGTAGTTGCTGGGATTTATACTTAACCTACAATTAAAGAGCATTTGGAACCCCACCAACGATGGAATTGAACCAAACTTGGCACACAGAACTCCCATGACAAACAGAAAATACTAGAAAGGTTTGGTGGGCATTGATCTTGAGTTTTGCAGTTGTAGTTCACCTACACCCAGAGAGCACTGTGGACTCAAACAATGATGGATCTGGACCAAACTTGGCATGAATCCTCAATATGCTCAAACGTGAATACTGGTGGAAGTAGGGGGAAATAGAGCATGACATTTGGGAGTTGTAGTTGCTGGGATTTATAGTGCACCTAGAATCAAAGAGCATTCTGAACCCCACCTATGATAGAATGGGGCTGAACTTCCCACACAGAACCCCCATGACCAACAGATAATACTGTGTTTTCTTACTCCCCCCCCCCCCCGGGGGTTGAGAATGGGTTTAACCCATTGCACCACTGGGGGCTCCTAGGCTCTCAAGGTTATCCAGCCAATGCAGCTATGTTCAGCTCAAGGGTTCCCAACTCTTTTAAAAGCTGAAGCCACCATTCACCTACCATTCATAAGATCTCATATATCAGTGGTTCTCAACCTGGGGTCCCCAGAGGTTTTTGGCCTACAACTCCCAGAAATCCCAGCCAGTTTACCAGCTGTTAGGATTTCTGGGAGTTGAAGACCAAAAACATCTGGGGACCCCAGGTTGAGAACCACTGTCATATGTATGTATGTATGTATGTATGTATGGACATACACATACACAAACACAACAGTTACCATTACCACCACCACCACGAGGATTATTTTCTTTCACATATTAATCCTTTTGGAGACAATCCTTCTAGTTTTACATACTGTATAACATTTGTATTCTATTTCTTATGGTCTGATCTTTACCTTTCTTCAACTTCTTGCATTCTATTTTCATTACATTTTGAATCATTTAATTTTACATCCATAGTTTCAAATTCCATTTAGTCCTCCGTATACTGATGCCATTTGTAAGATCCCATACTGCCTCTGTATTTTCAGATTTATAATAGCTGTCTTGAGGACTAGAGACATGAAAGAAAAGAAGCTACTATTTCTATAATGCACATCTGTGCAAGTGTCACTACAAAAATAAACTACACAAACAAACATGCTAATAAATTAAAGAGGTGAGGCCTCTAGCTCAGGTCTGGGCAAACTTCAGCCCTCCAGGTGTTTTGGATTTCAATTCCCACAATTCCTAGCAGCCAGTAGGTATCAAGGAGGGGGTCTGTCTTGTCAACTCATGATCAATATAGTGACAAAAGCATTTTGACATATTTTCATGACTCTTCCCAAAGCTGTGTTGATACAAGTGTATGTGTGCATGTGTGTGTGCGTGTTAGAGAAATGTACATACCTAACTCAGCATCAGGTTATAGCATTATGCCCAATTTATTAGAGCCAGCTGATCATACAAAGTATGCAGCATTAGTTAGATTTTGGTCTGTGCAGCCAAAATATGTAAGATTTGGCTGGACCTACTGCACATTGCATGGGAAAAGAATGAGAAGGGCACAGAATGTCTGCCATTAGCCTAAGCCAAGCTGCTCAAGATACTACAGGAATTTATTTTCCCAGCACTAGTGGGGGAAAAAACCTTTCATCTCAGTATTAACTATTTTCTTCTCTATAAGAACAGATCTTCTGCCAGGATGCAGTGACCCACAAAGACTTCTTATCATAGCAGGCATCAGCTCGCAACAATGTCCTACCTGCCACTATGAGAACCGTAGCCAATTCCAGAGAACAGGGAGTCCTGAGCGGGTGGAAGATGTTGTACTTTTTCCTGCACATCAATACATTTTGGTGCTTCAGTCCTGCAAGCTCTGCACTCCATTATTACTCATGACTCCATGAAGAGACATGGAGCCGTCAAAGGAGAGCAGCCTTGGTGATAGATGATGGAAAGGGATGGCTTCAAGAGGTCATACACTTGTTATTAGGAGATGGAACACAATGTGAACAAATTGATGTAAACCATTGCCTTTGTCTCACTGTGTCCTTCCTGTGTATGTGTAAGTCAACCCAAAGACACAAAATCTCCAGCGGCCTCTCGTAACAAGAACCAGATTAAGTAAAAGATGCAATGCTGGAATTCCCTGAAACCCAGAAAAGGGAAGTAGAGCTCTGGATTGTACAATAGCTAGTTACAGCACTGACTGCCTTAGGAAGAAAACCCCATTCATAACACGTCCCCAATACCTAGAAGACATGTCCACTTTCCCCCTGCCATGACATTGAAAGTGGTTGCTTCTCTCTCAGTTTGTCAGCTCTTTATCTCTTCTACCCCATTACTGCAGGGTTATGTATACAAGTATGTAACAGCTTATAATTCAGCAGTTTTTGCATTCCTCTTAATAGGATTAGAGATTCCAATAGTGCAAAAGTGTCATAAAGCTGAAAGAGAAACTTTGGAAAAGTTTTCAACTCTGTGCTTCAAGAATATGAACAATGGGAATGATCCTTTGAATATCTTACATAGAATCATAGAATGGGAAGAGACCTCGTAGACCCTCCCGTCCAATCCCCAGCTAAGAAGCAGGAAAATCACATTCAAAGCACTCCTGACAGATGGCCATCCAGACTCTGTTTAAAAGCCTCCAAAGAAGGAGCCTCCATCACATTCTGGGTGCAGAGAGTTCCACTGCTGAACAGCTCTCACCGTTAGAAAGTTCTTCCTAATGTTCAGGTAGAATCTCCTTTTC